TATTTCCCGCTTTTTTCCTCTCGCAGAGGAAATATCTGACGCCTCTGATTTAAACCGCGCGGCGGCGCCCCTCGTCATCGGCACCAACTTGTACTTCGGCCTTCCTTGATGTCCTAGACAAGGAAGGAGGGAGGGTGAAACTGCGCTCTCATTTGCCAGATGCAATTCCCCCCCCCCCCACATTTGAAGGGGAGGGGATCACCGTCGTTTAAAAATCCATTCTGCTTAAGCGTCTAAAATGAAAAGCAAAGGAGAGGATAACCTCATTGTTGGTATATAGACCGAGTGCTGCAGGCCTACTTTTCTGCTGAGGAAAACAGGAACACCGGAGACAATTACAGGGCGAATTCTCCACAGTGAAGGGAGACGAGGAGTGGGGGTTATTCAACACGAAACTGCTGCAAAGGGGCAGCTTTCCGGGAAAGAGAAAATGAGTCTGCTTCCTGATCCTGACTGCAGAGGATCCAGTGTTTACAAGAACTTTATTCTTTCTCCTGAGCTGGCAAATATCATTCATTTGAAGAAAATTGTTTACCTGCTATCACTTGCAAAAAGATATTGCTAGAAATCAATAGAAATGGCAATCTTCTCTTAGATTTATTTTTAAGGCCAATTCCTAGGGTGATAATTGAACTTAAACTGCTTCATGAATGATGTAAAAAAGGGATTTCTATCCATAACTAGTGTTTGCTCGGATACATTTTTTTTTAATCCACAGGATAACTATTCAGAGAAGGACAACTCTAAAACAAATTTCCCCAGACTGCTGCCCTCCCATTATACTGTAAATACCATGGTGTTCTAGATTGTATCATATTGTGCCAAAACAATGGGAGATGATCTATATATAAAAATAATATTTTCTATTCCAAGATGTTATTTTCTTTTTACCTCTCAAGTTATTTAATACAAAAGAACCACTCGGAAGCCTTATCAGATTTGAAATATGTTGTTCTTCATATACTCATATTGATATGTGAAATGTTTTTGATATTATTTTACCAAGATGGGGTGTAAATCAAATCAATAAAAATACAGATGGCACACAGCTCTATTTCACTTTTTCATCTACCAACAGGAAAGGTGTTACAATACTCTGAATTGGATGTGAATTAATAAAATTATCCAGACAGGACAGAGGTATACTTGTCTGGCAAACAGATGGATTTGAAATAGGATTTCAGACTGTTTTGGTTAAAGGAATTCTTCACATTTTCTGTAAAAAATCTAGTTTTTAGCATGGAGGTATTTCTGGATTCAGCTTTTTATCTGTTGGTTCAGACCTGCATGCTTGCTTTAGGTTTAGTACATCCAGATTGGATTATTGCAGGATGCCCTTCTTGGAGCTACTTGGAACAGCCTTCAGAAACTGTTAAAATGCAGGAGCAAGAATGTTGGTAAAAGCTTTTAGGTAGAATTGCATTCCGTATGGACTATCTTTGCTATCTGAATACTAATTGTCCCAATTTTAAGAAACTGTAGCTCTATTTATTTTGTATTACTTTAATATAAACAACTACTGAATGCCATCAACAAACTGGGCCGACTCCAGGGCATTTGAAAACAAATCAGACATCTACATGAGGCATTGGTTCAATCGAAGCAAAACAGTGGCTTTGCAACTACATTTCAGTAGTCCAAAAAAAAAGAACATGAGGACATGAATGACAGTGAGCAGAGCCTCACTGTGGGGTGAGGAATGAGTGCAAGTTGAGGAGCATTCAGTTGCTTCAGCAGGTATAGAACACAGCTGCACAAGTTGCTCCGATCTGTAGTGTTGACTATTTGACACACGTAATATAACTGCTTTGGGGGCTGAATGGTTGCCAGTGTATTTCCAGATACAATTCAAGATCCTGGGTGTCACTTTTAAAGTCCTTCATAGCATGGAACTGGGTTACCTGAGGGACTGTTTTCTTCCAGTTGTTTCTACCTATCCGATCCATTCTCACAGGAATGTGGGGTGTGGGGAACTAGGAGATGTCTCTGCCATAACCATTGCCCTCTCTAGAGAGTAGGATGCCCCCAAACCTGCTGGCCTTTCAGAAGGTGTTGAAGACCTAGCTATGTGCCTGGACCTGGGGTCCAGAGTATGTGAAAGGCCTATTTCCTGGTTACATTTATTACAATAAGATATAATATCTCTTGGCTGCTTTTATATTTAATTTCTTTTTGTATTGTATTTTAATCATTTTAATTGTTTTTATGATTATTTACCACACAGAGTCACTGGTTTGAAATGGGTGGCAATACAAATTGAATGAATAAATTAATCCCAGTATGTATGTTTGGTGGACATGAATATCTGTTAAAAGAACAGTCCATTTGTTCCTACTTTCCTCTTTTCTTTAGAAAGTGTTCATATTTTCTTACATGATACCCATCAGATTTGCTCAGAGATTAGTCAAAAACCTTTTGCAAGGGCTTTGTCAATAAAGTTTTGAAATTCCAAATATTGTTTACCAGTTCATTGTTATCAATTTATTTGGTGATTCTCATAAAAGACTCCTGAAGCTGACTGATGGTATATGAATTGCCAGAGTTGTTATTAAAAATTATAATTATATAGAATTGTGCAAAGTTTTCTTCAGGATTCCCACTTTTGCTAGCAGAAATGTAGGTTTGCTTTCCTTACAATATATATTTCTAATTTCTTCCCAATCTACTATTTGTTAATAGTTTATGGCTAAAAATGTCATGATTGAATTCAATGAGTAGTTATTGTTAATTGCAATATTTAATTATAACATTTATATTTTGCTGTACTTTAATTCAAAACTGCGTGGGAAGCTGATCTTGACTGCTTATCAATATTGAGAGTGAAAGCTACATCACATTTAGAGACTATTCCTAATAATATGCCTAACTAGCCTTATGGAAACACAGCCATTTTCATGTTAGGAAGGGATATGTGGATGGTGGGCTCATTTTTTTCTTTAATTATCTTATATATAATGAAAATTATACATAATATATATATATGCCATTTAACAAAAAGAAACTTACCTCAAGTAGGCAAAACTGAATTATATTCTTCCATGTCTAGGTATCTTAAGTGGGAAGAAACCTCACATAAATGAATTATGTTTCTAAATAGAAATATATAGACCTACTCTTTACTAAAGACTGAACTAAATTAAAAGCATTTAATGTGTAGCTGATAATTAAGTGAAAATCAAGAATGCAACTTTACACAAATCTATGTATGCTCCTTTAGGTAGTCAAGCTGCTCCACTTAGCATTATTTATTGACTTTAGCTGATTATTATGCAGAAAAAAAATCAGAAGATTTTTTTTCACTTATAGTTTTTAAGTGTAGTCCTTTTTTAAAAAAAACTTTGCCATCGTACATACGCTCTATGTATTTAAATCTATATTAATTTAATAATTTACTTCTATGCAAATGTTGACAATTTGTGGGCAACAATGCATTTGTCCAGAACTCATTAATAGACAATATATCCCTGCCCATTATGCTTTTTCTTTTTGGGGTAAGAATTAGGCAAAGCAATGAAAAAAAAAAGAGTGAGAAGCATGAACAGATATTAAAGGTAGGAAATAGAGAGAGAAAGAAATCTTCCAGGAAGAAACATTTTATAATTGAGTGATTATTGTTAAACATGTATCTCAAGGGTACTTAAATTAATACATTTGAAATGTTCATGTTTAGCACTTTGGGAGTTTGAGAGATGTCTTTCAGTCAATTTTGATTCCTGGGGAGGTTTGCATTAGTAGTTTGCCTTGGCCTCCTTCCTAGGACTGAAAGAAAGTGACTGGTCCAAGGTCATCCAGCTGGCTTTGTGCCTAAAGCAGGACTAGGATTCATATCTCACTACAGCAGTGGTTCTCAACCTTTTTAATGCCGCGACCCCCAACCGGTCGTAAGTCGAGGACTACTCAACTGGTACAGCACCATTTGCAGAATGGGACTTTTGACGGGCTCAGCAGGGCAGAGACAGCCTGGACAATTCCTATTGGCTTTTGAAAGCCAATAGAATTAGACTCTATTCAAGAGAGTCTATTCTATTGGCTTTTAAAAGCCAATAGAATAAAAGGGAGTAGCACAGCTAAGGAAAAGGGGAAAAAAATGGCGGACTGCGTTGTTTGGCGACCCTCGTGAAATGGTCGTTCGACCCCAAATGGGGTCCCAACCCACAGGTTGAGAACCACTGCATTACAGCTAACTGCCTCTTCTATTTCCTTCACTTGGCTCATCCCAAACCTCTGCAAGAACAGAAGAGCAGCTATAGTACCATTATTAGTCCCAGTGTCAGCAGAAGGAAAGTGGGGGGAAAGTCTTGGTTATGTTAAATACACGAGATTCTAGCACGAAGCAATCCACCCTTTTGAGTCGGATTGAATTTCCAAGCTAATACACCTCGGAAAGTTCAAGGCTCATAGATATTTATTATAATCCGATCAAATGGCTTTAAGGACCATCATTTCTTTGCTTTTTCTTGTAATTTTTCTGATAAATTTTACTTCTCAAATTTAAAGTTTCTGTCGAATTGTTTCCATATTGTAGAGAGACTTAGATGCAGCAGCAGAAGCCTGTGAATTAAACTCCTTTATTTTCCCATTCTACTAAAAGGGAAAGGAGAAACGCGCCTTGGTGCTTATTCCTGTCCACTGGCAATTCACAATATCCTCCCGAAGCCTCTGTGGTGATATAAAACTGATGCCCGTAAATAATACACCACCAAAGGTTGGTCATAATTTTTTTACGGCCGAAGTAAAAAGTGCCTAAGCATTTAAAAAATTAATTAAATTAAAAAATAAAATCAGGATCCAAATTCGATAAAGAGTAGCAGCACTGCAAACTTGAGAACAAAAACCTTCCAAGGGCATTTGCAGCCACGCCACTCCAACGCAGACAGCTTGGGAAAACAGCGATCTTTTTCTCCATTGAATTCTACGCACCCGCAAACCTTAGCCCAAATTCAATCTGTCCGATAAACCACACCCTCAGCACAGGCTCCTCCCTCCCTAGCCGACCCGCCTCCTTTCAGAGAGTCACTTGGGGTTTTTCTTTCTTTCTCTCTCGCGCGGATAGTGACGTCACAGGGACGCACAGATTCGGGAAGGAGGTTTGACGGCAGCATGTGCGGGGGCTGCGTGAAGACGGAGTACCCTCCTCGGGTAAGGGGGCGGAGAGCGGGCTTTCTTTAAGGCACGAGAAGGGAGCGCAGCCACGTTCCCTTCCTTTGTAGCTGCCTTCCCTGTTCCTTGGCTTCCTTCGAAGTTTGCTCCCCTTATCAGTTCTTACCTGGGAACAGATGAGATTCAAAGCAGGGGGTCTGCAGGCAAAATTATTTTCTCCCGCCCTCAGTAATGCCTTTATTAAGACCAGCCAAAGTGTGTGCAAGGTGCAATACTAATATACTCCCGGATTTTTTTTCCATTTTGGAATTCCCCTCCCCCCCCGGGCGAAATAAGATTAATCCTTTTCCTATTTTTCTCTTTCACTTTTCATGCACAGCACTAGGCTGTCTCGCCGGCTTTTGGGGGGGGGGGCGAAGTTTTTTTTTCTCATTTGAACCTGTTGTGGTTAAAAGGATTCTTGCAGTGGAACTCTCCAGATGGAATATAGATCTATAGCTGTAGTGGGTTCTCATTTTCTGCCAAGAGGATACAGGCCTTTAAGTGCCAGCATTTTTCAACTGTGTTATACTACAGCTTTCAGCATTTCTATTGAGACGTTTATTATATGGGATTCTGGGAAGTGTAGTTCACCAGTTAGAGGGAAAAAATAGAAAACGCTTCTCTCCTAATAGGTACTGGGTAACAGAGCCATCCTTCTTGAGAAGATGTTTTTTTGCATATCTGTGTGCTTTCAAATCAGTTTTTGACTACTTGGCAACTGCTCAAACTAGTCCCTGCAGTTTTCTTGGCAATATTTTTTTTTCCTCAGAAGTAGTTTCCATTGCCTCCATCCCAGTGCTGAGAGAAAGTGACTGTTCTAAGGTCACCCAGCTGGCTTTGTGCTTGAAGCAACACTAGAACTCACAGTCAGTTTCTAGTCGGGTGTCTTAACCATTACGTAGAATTACTATAAAAGTTATGGGTTTTCAAGAAACTCTGCTAATGATGTGTGAAAGGAAATATATTTTCTGTTTCTAGTTTTTAAAAGTGAACTGTTTAAAAGATATTTTAACATTATAAAATCTCTAGGTTGTGTATGGGTTTTTTATTTTAAATGTATTTCTCACTGTAATCTTGAAATCACTGACTTGATATTAAGCAGAAAGAAACATTGCACATTGTATTGAGAAATAAATTGAAAATCAGTACATGTAAATCCAGAGATAAGCCAGATGATTAGAACATTTGAAAAAATTAAGAAAATGATCTTACTGAAATATAGGGTTGTTCTAAGTGGTACACTGATTTCAGATTATATATTATAATCTGAAAATTCTTTGGTGGCATTATTGTTCATCATTGTTTACTATGACTTCTCCCTCTGGAATGGAAAAGAACCTACCACAGAACAGTCTTTGAAAACCAGAGTCAGATGGATTGTCAGATGGATTGTTTGTTTTTGGCATAACTAATTATGTGAGACTTTCCCTTTGGCTTATAATATGTGTGAGCCCACATAGGGAGAAGTCAGATTTTAACCGCTTACCATATTATCGTTTAGAAGGTTGGGTTGAATGCATTTTATCTGGGAAGGAAGAAGGTATGTAGGGATAGAAGTTAGGTCTGGGGGAAATTTGCCAGGATTACTCATATGTAGAATAAAATAACCAATGTGGAGTATTTACTTAGCTTCTATGTGTTTTCTCTGATCATAATCATTTCCTTGATTGCTTTTTTAAAAATATGGGAAGTTCTGAATGTAGAATTCTGAAGCAATTTGTAAATTTGGCTCTTAAATCAATTTAAGAAGAGATCACTGGCTGTGTTAACATATTTTCCCACCTTTGAATCTCTTAGGGTACTACTTGCTTGGAGAATGGATCCTACTTAATGAACTATGTTGGTTGCATTGAATGCAAAACACGGGATTTTGTGATGATTGTGAACAAAGCAACAGAAGAAGAAGATGGAGAGGAAATTGTCACTTATGATCGTAAGATGACCAGATTCTTCTGTTGTTTGTATGAGCATTAAGAACCTGTATCCAGAAATCTGTACTGTTGAAAGTTTAATGTGTCTAGACATGCTTTTATATGTGAGATATGCGTGCATGTATTTCATCCCATTATAAAAACAAAATGGTAATGAACTGTTATCACAGTTACCTAAATAATGCACTTCAGGATTCTGGGCTATGCCCAGTAACACCTGATTGCTAATAATTGAGGCATAAGGAAATAAATGACTTTATTTTTCCTGTCACAGAAGGTCACATGGTCCAAAATCTATTTTGGGTGTAAGGGAACTCTCAAAAGCACATTTAGTAGCATATAGAAGATGAAAGAGAATGAAGAGACAGGAGAGTAGAAAGTTTCACTCAAGGAAAATTATTTTAATCCAATTCTTGCTGTTGATGGACGTATTAATACTCCAAGGTTGGGTTTACCCATCACATGACTTGTTCGTTTTTGGCTTAATTTGTTATGTGAGCCTTTCCATTCTAAGCTACAGTTTATAATAATATATTTGAGCCCATCCATTGTGCCTTATTCAGGAGATCCTGGTAAAAACCCATTACTTAGAGCCACATATGAACTTAGGCCCTATAAATACAGTTGCAGAAAAGAAAAGACAGAAACCAGGTTTTCTAAAGAAATATATTCACTGATTTTTTTTTCTAAAGAAAGATATTCACAAAATTGTCATTATGGTGATAAAAACATGGAGGTTGCAGTCCTATGCTCTTTCTTGAAGGGAAGCATCATTGAGTACTATTGAACTCCTGAGTTAGGTTGTGGCTATCCTGAGGTTGCATTCAAACTCCAGTTAGCCCCAGACAGCTTGGCAATACTCAGGGTTTAAGTCAAGAATGTCTGAAGAATTATAGGTTTCCTTCTCCTGTCATAGCGGCATTTTGTAGGAACAGATACAACAAAGAGACTTGTGGCCCCTTAAAAACTAACACATGTATTATCATATAAACTTTCTTGAATTCTAGTCCATTTCATCAGATGCATAAGATTGTACTATATAATACAGCTTATTTATTTAATTCATTTTTTTAATCCCACCTTTAATTTTTCTAAATATCTCAAGGTGGTTAAGATACCTAATACTCCTTCCTCCTCCTGTTTTCCCTACAACAGCCACCCTGTGAAGTGAGTTGGGCTGAGAGACAGTGACTGGCTCAAAGTCACCTGGCTGGCTATCATTGCTAAAGTGGGATTGGAACTCATGGTCTCCCCGTTTCTAGCCTGGTGTCTTAATCATTAGATCAAACAGGTTGACCAGCTGTGGTTGAGAAGGAGAAAGAGAAGATAGATGGATGGGATAGAAAACAAATAGAGAATAAAAGTAGAGATGAGAACAGGTAGAATTGCTGTAGTTAAAATTAAAGTGGGAGTTGGGTCTCATATATTTTTGTACTGATGAGCTAATTAACGGTGTAGTACTGTTTGCGATAGTGGCAAATATCTGTAGTGTGGAGTGGAGTGTGGAGGCTCATTCTCCAAGCTTGTGAGTTGGTTTCCGAATGTTTTGTTGTGCCAGGCTAGGTAACATCTTCAGCAGAATTGAGGGAATTTAGTGTAGTACTGTATGTAATTACAAAAGAGAGGACCAAAACTTCTTTTCAATTGATGTTTTCCTGATAGCTAGTTGGTCATCTCCATGTTGGGAGTTGATGGGAGGGTGTTGGGGGCAACACTACAAAATAATGTACATTGCCTTCTTTCCAGGTTTCCCAGTCTGGTCTACATTCCTGGGATCTCCTAATGGTCTCGCAGTAAAAATATTAATTTTATTTGACTCTGTTTAGCTTTTGGAAATCAGCCAACATCAGTTTGATGCTACTATCAATTTTTTTATGTATTGATTGCCTGTTGCCCTAAAAGAGTGCCATAAACATTTTTAAGCAGATTAATAGTCTTTTGCAACAGCATGCCAGAGCTAAATGTCTCCTAGCCATGTTGTTTTAATGAGCAGACAACCGTCTACTTGTATTGCTACCCCTTCCTGCTTTTTTATATTGTCACTTGTGCTCAGTTTCCAGGAATTGTTAATCCTGTATATCTTCTGCTGTTTCTTCTTCTGTGAGTGTAACTTTTTAATGAACCAGTGTGCAATGCCAGAACATGCCATTTCTCTCATTTTTTCCATTGAAGTAATAGCAATGAATGTTTTACAGAAGTGATGACAGTAGGAATAATTAATAAATGGCTAGGAATGGAAATTGGGGAGCCAAATGGGGAAAGGTTGAGCTTTCTGTAGACTATACCTTTTTAAGTATGACTGGTACAGGTATTATCCTTTGATTCCTGTGTAAGTGCATATGTCTTAAAGCAATTTGATTTCTTTTGCAATTTTAGAGCATAGGTTTCAAGCTTATCTTTTGTTTTCTTTTCAGATATATGTAAGAATTGTCACCATGTGATAGCCAGACATGAATACACTTTTGGTGTAGTGGATGATTACCAGGTATAAGAGCCTTTCATTGATCAAGCACTGAATTTGTTTACCTTTTATTTACTTCAACTTTTTATCTTTTTGAGGCTCATTAAGCTTGGTAATTGATTTATAGCATATAATTCAGTATGCTTTCATATGATGTTGTTAACAAGTGGACCCCATTTTAATTCAGTATGTTGTGTGAATCCAGCCTATGTTGTTATTTAGTGGTTATGTGTACAAACTCAGCCAGTTGGTTTAATAATATAAACTATTATTGATTTATTAATTCAGCTTGAGAGCTGACTAAATATAAACTCTGTACAGCTGACAATAGACCATAAAAAAATAAGGAAAATATATGTGTCCCAGGATAATGTTGCAGAATCAATCTGAGTTGAGGTTTTTACTTCCATGCTTTCAGACTTTTGCTGGAACCCATCCTCAGGGAATTCTCTCTCTCAAAAATATAGAATTTGTAGAGAGAGAATTTCTCTGAGGATGGGCTCCAGCACGAATCTGAAAGCTTAGAAGAATAAACCTCTGGTCCCAGTAATTGACTCAGATTGGATCCTTCATAAAAACACAATTAGAAAATAAGTAACTCTATATAAAAAACACATTCAACACAGGGTTCCATCTCCCATCTCTCCTTAACCCAAGATCTGGGAGAAATCCAGGTCTTCAAGCTCTTACAGAATGCCAACAGGAGGGATCCACACAGATTTCAAAGGTTAAATTCCGTAACAGAAAATGCTTGTCTCCCAGGTCCCAATAGATCAGTGTTTCTCAACCTTGGCCACTTGAAGAGGTATGGACTTCAACTCCCAGAATTCCCCAGCCAGCACAGCTGGCTGGGGAATTCTGGGAGTTGAAGTCCATACCTCTTCAAGTGGCCAAGGTTGAGAAATCCTGCAATAGATGGTACTGTTGATGAAAGGAACCTGAGCATACCAACTTAGCTGGCACATATCATCCACCAGAAACCAAGGGAAATAGATGGACCCTCAAATAACCTAGCCCTATGCCTTGAATTGTACCTGGAAGCATACTGTCAGCCATTGCAGCTCTTGAAGCAGAGATGTCATATAGGCACACTGCTTTTCAAAGGCAGCTTCATGTAGAACACATTGCAGTAGTCGAACCTTAAAATGACTAGGGCATGAATAATTGTCTGAAGGACCATTTCATCCAAAGAGAGAAACAACTGGTACACAAGGCCCTATTGGCCACAGCTACCATTTGATCTTCAAGCCAGAACTGTGAAACCAAGTTCCAGACTGTGCACCATTTTTGAAGTGGTACTCCATCAAGAATACATGTAGAAAATCCTTTGGAATCCCTAATATCAAGAGCCCCTCAGCCTTAGTAGGATTGAGTTGAAATCAGGTCCTTCTAGACCTGCACAATCCTCAGGTACTTGGACAAGACTTTAACTGCCTCACTTAGTCAGCCTAGGATTGATAAATATAATTGGGTATTATCAGCCTAGTTTTGATACTGAACTCCAAATTGGCTGATGACCTCACTCAGCAGTTTCATGTAATAGCTCTGCTTCACAAGGTATACTTGCTGCCAATTTGCTTCTGGGTACAATTCAAGATAGTAATCAGTTTCTTTAACCAAAAAAAAATAAACTGCTTTATGGCTTAATTACTTGAGGGACTCTCTGCCTTCCTTAGTATCTACCGAGCCAATTCAGTCCTGATGCCATCTATCAGGACCCCAGAAGTATGCCTTCTCTGTACAATGCCTACCCTCTAGAACAGTGGTTCTCAACCTTTTTAATGCCGCGACCCCCAACTGGTCGTAAGTCGAGGATTACTCAACTGGTGCAGCACCGTTTGCAGAACGGGACTTTTGGCGGGCTCAGCAGGGCAGAGACAGCCTGGACAATTCCTATTGGCTTTTGAAAGCCAATAGAATCAGACTCTATTCAAGAGAGTCTATTCTATTGGCTTTCAAAAGCCAATAGAATAAAAGGGAGTAGCACAGCTAAGGAAAAGGGGGGAAAATGGCGAACTGCATTGTTTGGCGACCCCCGTGAAATGTCGTTCAACCCCAAATGGGATCCCGACCCACAGGTTGAGAATCACTGCTCTAGAATGAGGTTTCTTCCCAGATCTGCATAGCCACCATCCTACTAGTTTTTCAAAGGGCATTGAAGACTTGCTTTTTCAGCAGGGATGACTGAACCTCCTTTTAACTTGAGTGGTTTTCTTTTGTTCCCATCTAGTTTTGTCATTCTGCAATCTTTACCTTTCTGTTTCTCTTATTTTAATGTTTTAAATAATTTCTAAACCACCCAGAATTGCTGTGAAGCAGGCAGTATATAAATTTAATTTATAGTTCACATAGTCAGCCAGATGTTTAAACTGGATTGGCATTTTTATCCACCTATCGGGTCCTTCCCAAGAACCTGGGATAGACAGTTGTTGCTATTTGATGGTGTTAAGGCAAGGGTCTTCAAACTTGGCCCTTTTATGACTCGTGGACTTCAACTCCCAGAATTCCTCAACCAGTGTGCCTAGCTGAGGAATTCTTTGAGTTGAAGTCCACAAGTCATAAAAGGGCCAGGTTTGAAGACCCCTGTGTTAAAGTATTGTGGTAAGATTTATTTTTTATAAAAAATAAGTGAAATTTAATTATATTGCTTCCAAATAAATATTTAATGTCTTTACCCTATCAAAATCATGGCATCAGATTTTGGCATAGTTATTGCCAAAAAATAGTTTCAGCTGCTCGTGAACAACAGGGGGAGATAGAGGGCTTTTATATTTGATAACCAATCTCATATTATACCCACCGTATCTTTTAAGGTGTTGGCAAGTCGTTAGTAATTCCATCTCATTAAAGAAAAGAATGGATAAGCTTCCTGCAAGTTCTTAGCATATATAAGGTTTGCTTCCTTGGTTATCACAAATTAATATACTCATGCAGCAAATGAAACAAGCATCTATTAGCCAGTATAAATATATTTTGTCTCTCCTTCTAGGAATACACCATGCTCTGCATGCTCTGTGGAAGGGCAGAAGATTCTATCAGTATCTTGCCTGATGACCCTCATCTGATGACTCCATTGTTCTGAAGTGCCTTGATTTTTCTCAGCCATTGTATCATGTACTAAGTGCAGAAACTCATGGAATAAGATATTTACAGAACACAAGTGCAGACTTTGCTCAATCCATGTGGGAAGTCAAATGGTATGGGATCAAAAAATAGCATCTTCAGATGGTATGGGGTCAAAAAAAATAGCATCTTAGTTGATCATAATCAGAAGTGGTCTCTGCAAGCTAAATGGAGAGAGAGAAAAACATTCATTTGCTGAAAGCTTCATAGAAAAGACAGAACTCCTGCTTGCTGCTTTGGGTCTTCTTTAATGTTTTCTACAAGTCAGAATGCTGTGGTCAGGGTTACTGGCATCATAGGGAATGCTTTGTTTTTCTGACTGTCTACCCTACTGCAGTATCAACCAATGCCTCCAGCTCTCTTAGTTGAAAGAGGACTCCCCAAAAGGAAAGAAATCTGATTTGCGAGAGATACAAAAAATGTATAAGAATGTAATGTTAGGGGGAAATTGCCTTTTCCAAAGCCATCCAGCACATGTAGAAATAGAGGAAGAGATAAGAGGTAAGACCAGGTTACTTGAGAGACTGTCTCATCTTACTGGAATTGGCCCATACCACTTGTGCCAGCAGAGAAAGCATGCCGTGGGTCCTGTCAGCCCGATTATTCCGGCTGGCGGGATCCAGAAGGAGGGCTTTCTCTTGTTGCGCCTGCCCTGTGGACCATCTTGCCCCTCCCCTCCATGTGAAGTCGGTCCCTCCTATCTTTTTGTAAGGGACTAAAGTGGCGGAACAGCGCAATGGGTATGGTTGGTTGAGTAATAATAGCTCCCACCCTTCTGCCACTCTGCCCCTACCCTCCGTTTGTGTACTTGGTTTTAATCTGATTTTAACTTTTTATGTTTTAACTGTATATGTAACTGTAAGCCACCAGGAGTTACCCCATGTATGGTAAGATGGGCGGCCAATAAATTTAATTAATTATCTCACAGAAGGAGAAGGATAGAACTAGCCAGTGTTTCTCGGCTATTTCTATGCCCCAAATGGAAGACTCCATTTTCCTTCAAGTTTTCTAGAATGTACGGTTGACTCGTAGCAGAGTCATGTAGCTTCATGTTCATTAGAAAATGAACAGATGAAGAAATCTTGCTGCTTCTAATCTAAATAATTGCACTGATGTGAACTTCCAAAGCAATGGGATACTTGCCCCTGACATGCTCAAAGGTGGTTCCTGAATCAAAGGGGGCAATTACTTTTTGTATTGGCATATCACATACTGGGTGATGGTTTATAAAGTAAATGAAACAAGCTGAAAAAAGTTGGCATTATGGTACTTGTTTGCCTGGATTCCCTTTATCAATAGGACCCTCACTGATTTCATTGGGAAAGATAAACATTAATTCAGAAAATCAAAAAAGGGTAAGGCAAGGCTGCCTTCTGTGGCTCATTTATAGTGCCAGCCTGTGGTATATGGCCTATTTCATTTAGGATTTCACTGTGAAATTAGGTAGGGAGCACTGATCTGAGACTAATTAAACTGAAGTTCCATCTTTAAGAAACTCAGTCAAGGACCATAAATCTTTAGCCACTGAACCATTTTTGAATGCAAATTACCTTAAACTGCCATCAGCAAATGTAAGTTTCAGTTCTCATATGTAAAATTAGAAAGGGACCTGGTGTCTGCTAATGGATTCTAGAAGCATTCCTCTCTATGGAAATTGGTCCTTTCAGAAAGATTGTACTGATCCCATAAAGGGTATCTGCCCTTACTGTAACTTGCATTAGCAAACTTCTCTGATGTGGATTAACACAACTGCTTGCCAAAGATTTTGATAATGCATAATTACTTTGCCTGCCCAATGAAGCAACTAGATACTGATTTTTAACCACAAGACTAAAACTAAAACTTGCCAAGCTATTTATGAGCATAGAATATGAGGCACTCAAGTCCAGTTGGCATGGTAATTCAATGGAAGGAGTAACTCTATAATTGCCAGATACTGGAAATAAGTTATAGGACTATCACTTTGGAAAGTATAGTATATCTTATAAGGCAATGCTGGTTACGTGGTTAATAACAATTTGTCCTAAACTGGTAGCATTGATAGCTATCTAAATTACTGAAATGTACAAAAAAATAATTGAGTGTATTTAGAGATTTGTTGTGAAATTAATTTTTGTCAAGAGAGCCTTCAGCATACAGATGGTCCTCAATTAACACAATTGAGCCTGGAATTTTGATTGTAAGTCATTGTAGTCATGAAGCATGTCATCATGATGATGGGTTTATGACGGTTTTTACAATTGTGGTCATTTAGTAAATCCATTCCCCCAAATGGGTGTTTTTTTGCCAGAACCAGAAACTGGCAAAAACTTGTAAATTGACTATGAGATGCTGCAACCGGTCGTAAATCCGAGCCATTTGCCAAGCGTGTGAAATTCGATCGTGTGATTATGGGGTATAACTGTGTACAGCAGTCATAACTTTGAGGATGAGATATAAGTAACTTTTTTTGGTTCTGTCATAAGTGAACAATCATTAAGTGAGGATTACCTATATGCTTCTTTGCATTTAAATAAAAGTAACTGAAACTGGTGGTGTCTATTGTGTCTGAGCCTTAAAAGACCAGCAGCATCTTAGGCAGGATCACAGATTGTTTTTCTATTCCAGACAAAACTTCCTAACCATGTTGCTTAGTGATAATTTTGTGGGTCTGTTATTTTAAAACTGTATTGATCTCAGTTCCTGGAAGGTTGGACAAAGTGGAATCACTAATGAGAGTAATGGGTTTATTTTTTTAACTTAAAAGGAGGCCCTCTAGGACTTGAGCTTTTTGCTTAAAACCATTAGGCACCCATTTGTTTTTGTTCTTACATTTTGCACTTGGTGCTTAAGAGAAATGTTTCTGGCAGGAAATCAAAATCTGTGAAGAGAATTGGCTTGTCTTTCTTCTCTTGGTATTCCAGAGTGTATGGAGACTCCTGAAATCTCTCTGTTCAACATTAGAAGGGAGTCATTCAGTGAATTAGACTTGTAAATATTCACTGTATCCCATGTTGGAAGCATGGCTTATGGTGTCCATATTATATTACTTTGTATACTCCCAAGATGATGGTGGCAGATTTACTGAGTTTACTGTAGATTTTAATTTTAATGGACAACAGTTGAGCCAGTCTGTAAAAGCTGGCTCTTTATGGCAACAGTCCCCAAACTTTGTGGCCCAGTTGGTGGGGAGGAGAGAGAGGAATGTGGATGTGCACATGCAGCTCCATTCAAATGAGCAGTGGGCCAGTGTGCATGTGTGTGCGTGCTGGCCCTCCGCTTGCACAAGTGGAGTTGTGCGCACACATGCTCACTGGCCTGCCTCTTGTGCAGCTTGGTCCTGAATAAGCTATAGTCCGGTAGTGGGCCACGGCCCAGAGGTTGGGAACCCCTGCTTTATGGCTTATAAATATAGAAAATTACTTACAGGATAAGAACATTGTTCCATATTTGGAAATATTCTGTTTGGTTCTATTGTTCTTGTCAGGCACAAAAACCAGGGTCACACATTAAGTTCTAATTAAACTGATTTGCTGCTCATGCCTATGCACAGGAATCTACTCAACTAACAGGACTATTTTTGGTACTAGATAAGGATTCATTCAGGGGGGTGGATTGTATTTGATCTATTTATGCCTATATAGACATCCTAGGCTGCTTCCTTTTTTGACTCTGCCCTCAGGTTCTGCCCCTCCTCCTACAGTTCTTTCTCTTTGCATTCCAAACTGAACCTCTAAACCAGAGGTCTCCAGCATTTTGGGAACCAGGAATCAGTTCTGTGGAGAGAGGATTTTCTGCAGACCAGAGGCTGCGTGGTTTTGCGTGCTGCCTGCATCCTGCGGATGGGACTTTGCTTGTTTGTGCAGGCCAGTTGCTGGCATGCCGTGGCCTGGTACTGGTCCATGGATCAGGGGTTGGGGACCCCTACTCTAAACTTTATTTCATCCTTAAGAGATTAGGGCCATGGTGGCGAACCTATGGCGCGCATGCCACTGGTGGCACGCAGAGCCCTCTCTTTGATGGCACACGCCCCATCGCCCCAGTCCTAGGCCTTTAGCTGGGTTTTATAAAACCTTTTCGCTTTAGCCTTTGCCGCCTTGTGCAAAAAAAAAAAAAGGTTCAATCAATCAATTTTAACTTCTCACGGGGAAAAAAAAATATATCGCAAAGTTGGAATTGATTGATTGAACTTTTTAGTCCCACCCAGTCTGCCGTTACCACGGCAGCCACGACCACCCAATGGGCCACGCCCTCCCAGCACATGACGATACATAAGTGGGTTTTGGGTTGCAGTTTGGGCACTCAGTCTCTAAAAGCTTTGCCATCACTGGATTAGGGTGTACTGAAATATCACTCAGGCTGTACCTGCATTCAGATTGCATTCTGATTAAAGAGTCAGGGATCGGTTGAATTAAGTTGGAAATCTCTATAGAGATAGTCCTCAGTTTACAACCATTTGTTTAGCAGCTGTTACAATGGCACTGAAAAAAGTGACTTACAACTGATTCTCACACTTATGACTGTGCAAGCATCTGCCCAGTCACCTAATCAAAATTCAGGCACTTTGCAATCAGCACATTTTAACAATGGTTGCAGCATCTCGGGGGGGGGGGGATGTCACAGGATCCCCATTTGCAACCTCCCCAGATGGCTTCCGACAAGCAAAATCGATGGGAAACTGGATTTGCTTCACAACTACACGATTCAGTTATTTGCTAAATAACTTGTGGCAAAAAAGGTCGTAAAATCGGGTACAAGTTGTTTAACCACCTGCTCAGGAATGGGAATTATGGTTTCAATTGTGGTCGTACATTGAGGATTACTTGCAAAAGAAATTTGCCAAAGAATACTTTTAATGTAGTTCCTGTTTTTCATTTGGCATGTTTTAAGGGGAGAAAAAAGTATTGGAATACATGCTCTTTCCACTTGTGTAGCAATTCCCATCATCTTGTGGCGGTCCCTTGTTTATCTGCCAGCCTGAGGAATGCTCGGTCTGTTCAAGTATTTTACATGCACGATATGTCTTTGCATGCTTATTGGATAGAACGCCACCAGCAGAGTGTGCTGCCGCATCCATAGGTTAGATCAGGGGTAGGCAACCTTGGTTCTTTTATGACTCATGGACTTCAACTCCCAGAATTCCTGAGCCAGCATAGCATAGCTGGCTCAGGAATTCTGGGAGCTGAAGTCCATGAGTCATAAAAGAGCCAAGGTTGCCTACCCCTCGGTTAGACGGTGAGAGGACAATAACTGCAGATGTTGCATCTGCCTGTAGATTTATAAAACCTCCACAGCTTTTCTCAAATCCAAATTTCTCAAATCCAAATCCAGCTCACCACAGCAAACTCGCACAGCTAACTTGCCGCCGGACAAATCATTGTGGGACAAGAATTACACTAACAACAAAGAAATGATGGTATAGAATCATTAAAGAAAGGATGCAAAGGGGGGGGGAGAATGAAATGTGAATGATAAAAATTGAAATATATTTTTATTTATTTTAAATAATTGAATTTTTAAATTGTCCCACGACGAGTTGTCTCGTGGCAAGTTGGCCGTGGCAAGTAGTCCTGTAGTGAGTTGGCTTCTCCATCCATCCTCAGTTAAATATGGGTCTTCTGTTAAATAATGTTTTTATTAAATGGTGAAGATTTGTGAATGCTTACATGAAAGTGTGTGCCTCTGCATGTTTATACAGCAAACAGTTTATCTTTTATATATAGATGATGATAATTGCTTAGACCAGGGTTTTCTAAACTGGTGTTTGTAGGGGAGGTACATGAAGATTGTACTACTGTAAAGGAAGGTTGAGAACCACTGGTGTAGAGCTATTTCTTTAGCATTTCCAGAACCTGTCAAATTAAGAGTTGAGGAAATACACAGTATTGATCCTATAAACCCAGTTATCTACAACATTCTTTGAATTATGAACAACTTCTGATCCTTATAGATTGACCCTGATTTACTTTGGTCAAGAATGAAAGTGGATTGTTTGTATTCTAGCAACAACCCATTTCTTTCTTCTGTGGAGGATGGCTGCCTATTAGTTATCTGTTCAATTCTAAGCTAGATTTTACAATATCATGCTCTCCAGGTGTGTTAGTGAAGATTAGAAATTATGGAGATCTAATGAATTTTTTAGCTTCTTAAATAATTTTATCTTATAAGTTTTGTCTTTTTACTAACTGGTCAATTACTCCTTTGTGATGATAAACTGTTTTAAAGAAAATTTGGGAACTCTTACATATCATTATATATTTAAGGTGGAAATCTAACCATGAATTTATCTGTTGGCTTTTAATTTTTAGACTTGCCCTTTCACCAAATCTAGAAAATAAAATTCACTTTCACTAAATAATATGTGAACTGTAGGCACTTCAAACAATATTAATTTATAAGCAATTCTGAGATAAGTTATACAGAGAAATTTGCTATTCAAAACTGTTTGGAAAGAGGTTTTTGTTAAATTTTGTGGCATTTAAATGGTAATTTTTATTAAATAAAATTATTTTATTATTGATTGTTCATTGATTACATGCCATCAAGTTGATTTTGACTCTTAGCAATTACACAAATATATTTTATAATATAAATATATTTTATTATATAATCTTACAATAAGAGTGCTTATCACTAACCAAAATCTCTCATGTTCTGGAGCATGAGAACTTTACATACAGTAAAGTATAATTTTTACAGAAACATTATAAATGTGCTAGAAAGCACATTCAAGAAGAGATACAAATTAGAGAATTTCAGAGGAATTTGGTTTTTTCCCCTTAGTTTTCCAGGGTTGAATTTTTACCCAGAATCTTAAGAAAAATACTTCCTATTGTTCTACTTAAATATTTGCTAATCTTCAGATAAATTCAGTAACATAATATTTGAAAAGCCAGATACCCTATTGGAGCCTTGCAATTAATATTTTTGTAGAACTTAAAAGTTTCCTTCAAAACAATTTCTCCATCATTTGCACTATAGTTATTTTCTTTTCTAAATGATTGGAAAACCTATGACTCATTATTCAATCTTAGGGTATTCATAATACTAGCCCTGCTTCGCAGTAGTATATATTCATTATCTCATCCTTATTGGAGATTTTTTTATAACTGATTTTGGCGTTACCTTTTATGGAATGTATTATAAAGACCAATGAAGTGGATGAAATTATATTCATGGCACATTAAGACTGAAATTCCATGCTCAATTATGTAGGAGTAAGTTAATTGAGTTTAGTGGGACTTCTGGTTAGACTTTAAATTAGCTTGAAATGATGCTTTCCTCCCTTTTTTTTACACAGGTTAACGTGGCCTTTTTGTGAAAAGTCAGGAGTATAAAAAAATAGGTACTAAAAGAGAATATCCCGCAGACCTTGAATCTCAAAACCATCTTGAAGTGTGTGCTTCTTCTATTTCCTAGAATATGTTTGCCTGAAGACACTGATAAAAACTGGTTTGTGTCCTTATCATAGTGTTATTGAGAAAAGTGGAGGAAGCTAGAAGATAATTTTTGATTTCGTTTAGCTAGGTTGCTGATATCAGAGATGGTTGAATATATTGTTTATTGGCTCAAACAACAATCTACTAAAGAAGCTAGTTTTTCCTTTACTTTAAATACAACCTCTGATCAATTATTTAGAAAGGAGAGAAAAAGAACAGTCCCTTGTAATGAATTTTAATCAGGAGAGAGTGTCTTTCAAACCATCCTCTTTGCAATTAACTCTGCAGATAGTCTGAGATCAAAGATGTTGTTTAAGTATGTAATATGTCTGTTACAAGGCATTGCTGGATATACCCCACTGAATTAAATAGGAATTCTGTGGTTGTTGCTATCCATATGCTATCCAAGAAGAAGAATGTCCTCCCTATTCTTCCCATTTTCCACTTAAACTCTTCATTATTGTGCTATTTTTATTGAACATTTTTAATGCAAGTTCCTTACAGTTCAGGGATTTGGTGGTATTCAAATTTTAAAATAAATAAATGAACTATAAATTTGGATTCATTATTTTAAAAGAGAATTTATTAGTGCTTGCTTGACTAGAAAGATTGCTACCGTCTCTTGGGTATTCAGGATTTGCTTAATGTTTCGTATTTCTAGGATTTGGGCAGAAATTTACAGCACTTATAAATCCAGACCATTTCTCTTTTTATAATTCCTGGAGCTGAGCTTGAAAGGATCTTGGCAACAGACTAAGAACAATCTATAGGCAGTCCCTGACTTACAACTATTCTTTAGTGACTGTTCAAAATTACAACAGCACTAAAAATAATGGCCTTGTTAGTCATTATTCCTTGCACATGACTTTTCCAGCGTCCTCATGATCACATGATCAAAATTTGGGCATTTGGCAACTGGTATGTATTTATGATGGTTGAAGTAGAATGGAGTAATGACATTGCCATTTGCGATGTTCTCAGCCAGCTTCCAACAAGGAAACCCAATGGGAAAGCTGAATTTGCTTAACAACCATGTGATTCACTTAACAACTGCAGTGATTCTTTTTAACAACCATGCAAAAATGGTTGTAAAATTGGGCAGACTTACTTAAGCACTGCTTTGTTTAGCAATGAAAATTCTTGTCCCAATTGGGATCATAAGTTGAGGACTATCTGTAGCTGATGGAGCCAGTTGAACCTGATCTGTGGCAGCTGACAGTATTATTAAGATAAACAAAAAACAAAAACAGAAAACCTTTGGAAGAACACCTCCATCAGTAGGTTAAACTCTCCTCCGTCTATTATTCCCTGCAGCTCTTAAGCTGTGGAAGAATATTAGGTGACTGTCATTAAATGCTTATAAGAAATGCCATCCGAGAGTAATTTAAGGAACCAAGAAGAAGTTGGGGCATCTGAAGGCAAACATAGGAAGGAGAGATGTGATTTTAAAAAAATGTTTTTCAGCGTGGGTGTTATTAATGGCCGCTTCATTTTAAAATAAACAGAGCGGAAAATTCTTCAATTCATTTATTTAACTTGTGAAACAAACAGTACTCAGCAAATGAGAGAGCCAAGGAATCAATACTTTTACACTTTTCAGGCCTCCTCCTTGAAGCTTTTAAAGGAGACTGTCATTCAGTAGAAGTCTGATGTTGCCTCTGCCAGGCTGAAGGACCTCAAATACTCAGAAAAAGAGTGAGTGAGTGAGTGAATGAGTGAGTGAGTGAGTGAGTGAGAGAGAGAGAGAGAGAGAGAGAGAGAGAAGAAAATAAAATAAAATTCTGATTACGGGCCTATGTAAAGGCTACTTATATAATGTTGGGAATTCTGCTTTTTTTCTTACTTGGCAAGCTTCAGGAGGCGCTGCATATCAGGCTCAATACTGCTAGTGAGGAACCTGGAGCTGTAGCGCTTGAAAGGTTCTCCTTCAGGTCCCACCAGGAACTTCTCAAAGTTCCAGGAAATGTCGTAGCGATGCACGGGGCTCCACAGGATGAACTTTGGCTCCAGCATGAAGCAGGAAGGATCATCATCTGGGTAAGGGAGTTTATCCTTCAGGTAGGCAAAGACAGGGTGGGTGTTGTTGCCATTCACCTCACACTTCTGGCAAAGAGTAAAATTGGGTTCAAACCCAGATCCGGGCCTCACATATTTCAAGCTGTGGAGGATCTCTTCATTTATGCAGTTCTCCTGTTTGGGAGGAAGTAGAAAGCAGGATGAGAACTAAAACTTCCTGCATAGGAGACAAAGTTGGCCTCTCCCTTGCTTGTCTTGAGGGCATCAGTGTAGTGTGTATTTTGTACTGATTCTACCCTCAGATATAAGTTTCTTGCCCTGGGGTCCTTCCTCTGGGAAAGAAGTGAAACAATTGAGGTGCAATATCCGGAGATTAGATCAGGGAAGAAAAAGTGATGAACTGTGTTAAAATTCTTTCCCACAAGGGCAAGAAAAGATGAGATGCACAACATTCTAGAAGAAGCTCCTTAAAATTAGACATGGGGATAAGTAATCCCAAACACTCAAGGTAGAGGTTAAGTACACAAAAAAGATGTACTATAGATAACATATTCAAGACTCAGATTTCCAGATTCAAGACTCCGCTCAGCCATGGATCTCACTTGGTCAATGGAGCAGTCCCTAATTCTCAACCTACTTCCTGGGCATTTCTAGGAATAAAATGGGTAATGGTATCTCCTTTCTCTCCAGGCATTCTGCCTTGAGTTCTCAGTAGAAAGGTTAACCACTGTAATGTATTAAAAAGACTGCTGTGCTTGTTGCGATTTTCAGAGATGTCCTGAAACTTTTTGAAGTTATGTGAGTTGAGCAGCAGACTTCTGAATATGCCTTTACACCTGAAGGAGTGTATGCAAATCAGATGTTTGCTCCTAGGGAGATCACTGAGTAATGTTTACATGTTCATTCGCTTGGAGAAAGTATAGGTAATCCTTAACTTACAACCATTTATGAAACCAACCGTTTAATGCGACAGTTTGAAGTTACAATGGCACTGAAATAAATTACTTATGGGTGTCACGGCATCCCCATGGTCACATGATCAAAATTCGGGTGCTTGACAATGCCTTGTTTTATGACAGTTGCAGTATCCTGGGTCATTTGATCCTCATTTTGGACCTTCCCGGCCACTTCAACAAGTAAAGTCAACAGGGGAATGATGGATTCAGTTAACCAATCGCCTGTTAGGTGTTTCACTTAACAACTGCAGTGATTCGCTTAAGAACTGTGTCCAAAACAGTTGTAAAATCGGGTGCAACTTTCTTAACAATCCCCTTGTCTATCAACAGAAATCCTCGACCCAACTGGGATTGTAAATCCAGGATTACCTGTCTAGAATAAAGTGAATAGGCAGGAACTATGGAATATTTTGCATACATATGCAGCTGAATGCAACAAGAACAGCATGTGATGAAAGTAATGCGTGTGTGAGAATGGAATGATTAGACAATGGTTCAACTCTTGATTCTTTAATGTATTTATGGATAATTGGCATTGTGAGAAGTACATAAGAAATGCTGGTGACATGGGATAGGAATAGATAGTCCTTGCTTGACAACCCCAATAGGGGCCAAAAATTTTGTCACTGACCAAAGTAATCAGGTGAAAAAAAATCACATGATCGCACCACTTAACGTTCTGGTAGTACTAGTTGCGATTATCAGGCAAGGACTGTACTGTCACTAGGCAAAGACCTCATGCGTTCCTTGCCCTACTGCATATGCCTCTGCTTCAACTCCCCCCTCCCCCATCTCTACCTTTTTGGCCACTTTGTGCTCCACCATTGCTGCCTACTTCTCACACATTGACAGGGAGGCCTTGTGCGAATAGAGAAGGGCCGGCACTCAGCCAGGTGCACCTGGTCAGCAGTGGAAGAGCTGTCAGCATTGTCATAACTTCCAAGTAGTAGATGAACAAATAATAAATAGTTAAGTGGGGACTACCTATATCTGTACTTTTGGATGCAGATAATGCTGCATTGCTGGTTTAGAGCTTTAATGATTTGCAGCGAATACTAGATAAATACAAGGAGAATTAATTTGAAAATGCCTCATAAAAAAGATAATTATGTTTGAGAGAAAAGAGTGAACGGTTGCAAACTATATAAACACAGTGAAAAACTACAGGCAGTAGGTGTATCCTTGATAGGCCATATACTAAAGCTAGGGAAATGGAGAAACTTTAACATCTATAAATGCTGCTAGAAAGGTATTGGTAGCTTTGGTCTGTTGTGATTAATGATGAAAGAAGACTATGCTTTTGCCTATTTTATTATATGGAAATGAAAGTTAGGAATGCCAGAACAAGCATAAAAGTTAAATGAAGTGGAATAGATTGTTTAAGAAGTGTTTGCATTAAAACACAACAGAGATGGTGATTAATTAATAAGAATTGAATACAAAAGTGAATGACCAACATGAAAGATTTTAACACGGTTTGGTCATTTAAAGAGAATAAATAAAGACTGAGTTGCAAAACAAATACAAGAAGGAAAAGTGAATGGGTTGGGAGAAATGGGAAGGCCAAAAAAGTTGTGGTTAGATGGAACTGGTGAGATCCAAAAGAAGAAAAGAGAGAGGCGAGAAGTTGAAGGGATAAAACGCAGCCTCAAATTGATATATGAGCTTGGTGGAAATGAGAATAGCTTCAAGAGCAGGATTTCTTATTGATACAAATTAATTTCCTTTTTTCTCTTATTCCATTAATGATCAAATGTCTAATAATTCTTTATCTTCTCATTATTTAAATTGGCCATGTTTACCCATGCATTCTCTGTCTATCCTTTTCCTTATAACAGCAAATCCCCCACAATGCCAGATTCCCTTAAGTTCAACCCAGCATGGGAATTGAAATCAACCACATTTCATGGACACAAAATTGGAAAAGGTTGCCTGAGATCATTTGGTTCAAGAGTGATGTTCAGAGGAGTAAGGTTAACCAAAATTATAATTTGATCTTAGTTGAGTAATACACATTTTAAATAGCACTTTCTTTGCTCTTAACAAAACTCTCCTTTCAGAAACAGGGGAAATGTTTTAAAAACCCCTTATTTGTGTAAAAGAACATACTCTTTTCTAAATAGCAGAGGCAGCACATTGTCTGCTTGATTAATGAACTTTGCATTGCATTCTGGAGCATCTTGTTGCTCTCTTTTAAGAATCTTGCACTGTTGAACAACCTATTAAACATAATTCCCTGTCTACCACCCGACTCTTTCAGATGAGCAAGGGGAAATGAATATGTCCATTATAGAATACATGTGTTATCTCATCTTCCTATTGTATATAGTTTCCGCCTTTCCCAGCTCCCAATTAATGAGTGTAGGATAAAAACCCTGGTTTCCAAAAATGTAAGAACTGAAGAAAAGTGATTTCACAATGAAAGAGAAACTGATTTTGCAGTTGCAGAAGAAAAAGCCACTTATTGTTACAAAAAGTCATGAACAGAGATTGAATTAAGGGACTTACCTGGTAACCAAACTGATTGCAAGGAAAACCCAGGACAACCAGCCTTCGAGGGTATTTGCTCTGCAGCTGATTCATCTGGGTGTAATCCCTCACTGTGGTGGCTCAGAAAGAAGCCACATTCTCTATCAAAACCACTCTTCCCCTGAAATTGTTGAAATCCACTTTCTCCCCTTGGAGATCAGTGGCACTGAGATCATAGAAAGATTTGGCTATGGGAGTCATCGTTGTTTAGTAGACCAAGTGCACCAAAAGGACAGCAACGTGAGATGCTTGCAGATACGGCTATCTGCTTCAAATGCTCTTCTGTATACTCGTGTGCTTGGTTGCACCAAGCAGCCTTTCTTCATAGGGTAGTCTGCAGAGAGTGGAGCCCCTCCTTGTTACTCATCTAGCTCTTTCCTGATTGGGAACAAAGCAGCAGGTCAGGGTGATATCAGTTCTACTGCTACCTAAGCCATTGTGATACTTTGGACAATCCTCAATAATTCATGCTGCTTACAACAAAAACGGATCGATGGAATTCATGAGATGCAACAATTTTTTCCTTTTATTTTAAGTTTTCCAAAGAAAAGTGGAAGTCAAGTAAAAAATTGGCTGCCTTTTAAAAGTCATATAAGTTACTATGTGGATAGTAATAGTAATAGTAGTAAAGTTGGAAGGGGCCTTGGAGGTCCTCTAATCCAACCCCCTGCTCAGGCAGGAAACCCTACACCATTTCGGAGAAATGGCTGTCCAGTCTCTTCTTAAAAACTTCCAATGTTGGAGCATTTACTGCTTCTGGAGGCAGGCTGTTCCATTGATTAATTGTTCTCACTGTCAGGAAGTTTCTCCTGAGTTCTAGGTTGCTTCTCTCCTTGATTAGTTTCCACCCGTTGCTTCTTGTCCTGCCTTCAGGTGCTTTGGAAAATAGCTTAATTCCCTCTTCTTTATGGCAGCCCCTGAGATATTGGAATACTGCTATCATGTCCCCCCTTGTCCTTCTCTTCGTTAAACTAGACATACCCAATTCTCGCAACCGTTCCTTATATGTTTTAGCCTCCAGTCCCCTAATCATCTTTGTTGCTCTTCTCTGTACTCTTTCTAGAGTCTCAACATCTTTTTTACATCGTGGTGACCAAAACTGGATGCAGTATTCCAAGTGTGGCCTTACCAAGGCATTGAAGAGTGGTATTAATACTTCACGTGATCTTGATTACAGCTAGGAGTTTTTTCCTAGCACTACCTTTGGCTCAAGAGGTAGCAACCTGGAGTTCAACATTCTTAGAAGATACTATTTGAGATTATTAACAATAAAAACAAAAACAAAGCATGGTTGAGTGAGAGGCATTGCCTCTAAGGGCACTGATTAGACTTGGGTTGATAGAAATCCAGAATGCTGGACATTTAGCAGATTCTGGAGCAAGATTATTTCCTAGTGAGAACATCTCTTTTTATGAATATATGTGGGAGCCATTCTGGAGGTTGTTCTGAGGAACCACTCCATTGGAAACTGCTGAAAAATATCTATCATGTGTTTCATAATAGTCACATTTTTCTTGGCCTTCCTACAAATAAAGAACTTGCATGTCCCACATGACTGAAATTATTTAAAGGGAAAAATAAAACAGCTTCTTTATAACAAAACATGTCCTTGATATGGACAGCCAATCAATCTCCTGCAGGGCCATCCAGCCACTTGACTGATTTTGATAGGCATCAACAATTACTAGCCATATAGATGCAGCTATAAACCATTTATGACAGATATCTGTTCGTTTTGCATTCAATAACAAAATGTTTTAGTAAAAAAGATTAAAATATTTGTTTGCATCTGTTGTTATCTTCTTATGAAAAAACGATTTCTACATATATTCCATGTACATTTCTTATTTATATATTTTGAATAAACTGAAGATGGATGGTGAGCTTCCTTAAATTGAAGACTGAGACTTGCCCTGTTCTGAGAATTGCAACACATCTGAAAAGAAAAAAGACACATCCTCTTTTCTAGCCAGATAATGAGAGCCCTTCTGCTTTTCCTGGCACACAACATGCACTGAATTATTAACCATTGGATCAGATTCCCGGAGAGCTCAGGAAGGCAGAGGGAAGGCACGTAACCAGAGCCCAGTAATCGGATATGATTTTCTAAAGAGGGAGGAAAGCAAACTCGTATTAATGCAAGTTCTACCAGTGCCAAGGGATAGCATTCTGAGAACATGAGGACAAAGGGCCATTTTGCCCAAATACCAGCTACATACACAACAGTTGTTGAGTTCACATATTGTGCTAAGTGTTTGCTTCGGTAATGGTTCATATAACAAACCATAATGGCCTGCTCGTTGCCAAACTATAAGCCAGTGATGGCGAACCTTTTAGAGACTGAGTGCCCAAACTGCAACCCAAAACCCACTTATGCATCGTCAGGTGCCGGGTGGGTGTGGCCCATTGGCTGGGTGTGGCCAATTGGGGGGAGTGTGGCCCATTGGGTGGGCATTTCCCACGAGAAGTTGAAATTGACTGACTGATTGAACCTTTTTTTTTTTTTTTGCACATGGCAGCAGAGGCCTAAAATGAAAAGGTTTTATAAACCCAGCTGAAGGCCTAGGACTGGGGCGACAGCACGTGTGCCCACAGAGAGGGCTCTGAGTGCCGCCTCTGGCACCCGTGCTGTAGGTTCGCCACCACTGCTATAAGCCATAAACCAGATTGAGCATTAGCCTAATCCTTGTGGGTTCCTGAACAAGGATCATTGTATTGTTTAGGTTGTACTGATGCATGAACCTGGCTTCCTCACTTCCAAACGGAGTTTTGTTTTGGTTCATCTCTTATGTCAAAGAACCCATTTGTGATATAAATAAAAAAAAAACGTTATTATGCATCATTATTCTAAATAACTGGGGAAGGTTTGCAGCTTCATCTCCCTGTGCTTCAAGTCAGAACTCCCAGAACTGAATTCCATTCTTAGTGGCCTCCAGAAGATATTTTTTTTTTTTAAGAAAGGCAATTGAAATGGGAAATTACTAGACAGATGACAAGAGTAATCATACTACACTTTTAGTTAAATATTTGTAAGTGAATTAGGTTTAGTTCAGCTCTCCCCACTACATTAGGGAACACATACAACTGAAAGATGAAGTGCAGCCCTTGAACTAGAAAGCCTTACAGAACCCTGCTCTGAATGAAGTTCTCATAAGCATATAAGGATTGGATTAATTTGCTTGTAAGGAAATATGAGAGCCACCAAATACTTTAAGGATCTTTATTTGTAAATGTTTTGTTAATTTGTTGTTTAAAGTAATGAATTACAATGACAGGTTATACAAGGAAACCCAGTCAGAGTGCCAAGTTCACAAAATACAGACACAGCAGAGGATTCAGAAAGTTGTACATTTGGCTGGATCCCACGACAAATTATGTGCAACTCTCTCTGCTATAGGCAGAAAGGTTCCTATGGCCCATGACTTGCAGGACAGAAGGAGCCTCACAATACTGGATAGTGTTACCTTTTTCAGAAACCAGCCCATTTCCCTTCCCAGGTACTGGTCTGAAATCCACTTTCATTCTAATTAGCCCCCCCCCCAATTCATATTGAGTGGGTTATGTTTGCTTTCAATAAGTTGTCAACAACTCAGATTGCAGTTTTCCAAATCAGGGATTGGCAACCAGTCTGGCTAGGATTGATGGGCTTTGTATTCCCATCAAGCGACATCTGGTTACCTACAACTGTCCAGATGCTAAAAACATGACTCAGTTTGCTCAGGGTTGCAAACTAGAAATTTCACCAACAGTTAGGTGAAATTGGTGAACTTTAGATAGTGAGAACCCACCTACTTCCATCAATGGGCAAAAAGCTTCATGCGCTCCTTTCTCTTGTCTCACTTTCAGAACATACAGAATTTAATGTGGGGTCAATTATGTGCATTGATAGCAGCAGCAGCAGCAGCTGTGCTCTCAGTTCCTAAATAGAGCAAGCAGATCACCATGCTGCTAAATTGCAACAGGCAGAAAAGGCTACTGGGGCCATTCCACGGATCTCCCCAAGGACCAATGCTCTTATTTCTATGTGAGCTTGAAGAACATGGGTCTTCAAAGCTTTGGCAACTTGAAGTGCTGCCCAATCCCTTCAGTTACATAGCTCTCCTTTGTAATTTTAGGCAGGCCTTCTTGAAATTAACGAATTGCAAGTTTTAAAGAACCGGGAACTGCTTTACATATTTTAGTAGTCAGCTAGGTAGACACTATCTGATTTTTGCTTTGCTTTAATTCCTATCTCAAACTATACTGGGCGTGTCATCCCACATAACCTTCCCATAGTAGAGATTTAGAAGCAGTCTTTAAAAACTGCCAATTGTACTCACCAAGGATAAACCTGTTCACCATCAAGGCAGGGAAGAATTGGGCGGGGGAAGGATAGTCATCAGGCCTTGGGCAGCGAGCACGTATGAACTGGCCTTCAGCCTTCATTTAACTTTTCAAACTCATTATATAGACAAAAGCAACTAAGAACAAATAATGCTCCAAAGAAGTAGTCCAATTCGTTTGGGCTTTGAAAAAGATACATTAAAATAATAATAATAAATGCTTTTTCTTCAGTCTGTCCCATTTTCTTCAGTCTTTTCCTTTTTCCTCTGCCATGACAGACTTCTAGATTCTCAGACCCTATTCACTATAACCTGACCTTTACAATATACTTTGGGTCCTAATAAAGCTACAATAAATTAATAGCTATGTATATGTCTGTGTCTACAATTTCTCAAGTATCAAACTAGTTCTGGCAAGAAGTAGTTCCCCTGTGAAACCAGCAACTATTAATCTTGTAGCCTCCCTCAGCAATCTGTAGCACAAGAGTCCTTCTGCCAGTAACAGGCACCGTTGGGTAGAATATCAGTGTTTCCACTTATTGTAATGGCTTGATACCCGTTCAAATCCATCCAACCCAAAGAAAGAGGTCAAACTAGCTATTTGCAAATAACACTGGTGAGAGCTTTTTCAGAGCTTTAAGACCCTCTACTTTTCAGGGAGATTGGAGAGGGGGATTTATGACCCTCCAGGAACTGAACTGTCCCAGTAATCTCAGATGGCATAAACAGGGAAGCTTAAAACTCTTGTTCAGTAACCTCCACAAGACCCCGGTTCCTTGTTCTTGACTTACATCATGTCAACCAGTATTATTTCCACACTATGGCATTCTCACTGTTCCCGTCTTTCACTACTTGATGCAGCTTCCCCCTTTCCTTGCTAGAGCAAGATAGTCAATTCCAATATACAGAAGAAGGAAAAGAGCAAAGGAATATAGCTTTTGTTAGAAAGGGACCGTTTATCTAGCAGGAACTACCACAATATCTATTTGGAATGGACCGAACGGCTTTGGTTAAAGTCATATGCTAAAGGCCAAGTAAAGAAGGACTCTCGAACTATCATTTCACATCACCCAAAGCCTCCAGTAAACACCTGCTCTTTGTGGAATATCAGCTATGGTCCATTTCTAGTACATATATAAGAGAGGTATCTTAGCAGCTCCATGGTTTTGGCACACAAGGAACTGCTACCCTGGAACAGGCGGCTTATATAGTACCAGGCATGCCACTGAATGTGTTAGGCTTCCCCCCAAGCAAATAAATGCCAAGACAAGAGGGCAATGCTGGTGCAACATGCAGAGGGGCTGGTTTTAGTCTGTTGTAACTTAGCATGTTAGTGGCACATGGCAAAAGTCTCCCTGCCCTCTGAATGTATTAGACTAAATTTCAGGAGCTTGCAGAGAAAATTCTAAAGAGAGGACATAAATAGGTTTAGAGCAAGCTTCTTACAAGTTAGACCTTGAAAGCAAGAAATGATAAAAGTTTTGATGTGCAGATTACAGACCCTGTTCCTTGATCAGAGCTCCAGCAGGTTGTGGGGAAATCATTCAAAGGAGACAATCAAAGCCAGACCTGGACACAGGCCACAGAGAGCGGAATTTCTGCTTCCGCTGGTCGAGAGGGATTAACTTAAGTAGATACCTGATTGACTGAGGTCCTCCAAAAATACACAGAATCGAAAGCTTCCTATAAGTTTTGGAGTTAATCACAGGAAAGGGTCTTCCTGATTGCCCTTTAACAGAGAGCTCTAATGTAGTCTAGAATGAAAATCTAGCCCTGGGAAGAGGCAAACGTTGTTAAAAGCTAAAGGTGCAAATTTACCCATATGATCCTTTTTGTTTAGGGACAGATTCTCTCCTGATCCCAGTGCTGCAGCTTAGCAGAACAAGAGGTCTTTTCTTTTTTTTTTTGCTGAGATGAATTTCAGGGAACCCAGTATCAGAAATAGGAAAGCTGCACCTAAAGCAGCTGGAAAGCCCCAAATGCAATGCTGCACAAGCATTTGGACAATCCAGAAACGGGATGGCAAAGCACATGGAAGAAAAGAGCCATCTACAGGCCTGCTATAGAGGATATGGCTGGAGGACAGTGAATGGGACAGAGAAACTCCTTCTCCCACTCTTAGGGAGCAGGCCTAGCCCCAAGCAGGCTACCTCACAGAAATAGGCAAGGCTTCAGAGAATCTGGAGTCAAATGAATTATTGGACAAGCCTCAGCCATGACTGGTAACCACAGCTCTCCCATGAAGACAGCAGGGTCATGTTCTGCATATTGTGAGCCATCTGAAGGTATTTGGATCCAGGGAGTTTGAGGGCAACAGAAACTACCAATCAAGGAAAAACACCAGGAAATGCAAAGAGGATCCCACAGGGCAGATGGCGGGCAAACAGGCAACCAAAGACAAGAGGGATAGAGTACAGCGAGTCAGCCCTCTCTAAGTGGCAACTTTTCTACCTGCACTGGGGGTGTGGGGAAAAAAGGATGCTGGGAGGCTTTCAACACCAGCAGGTTTTGGGAGAATGCTCTGAGCCCTCCGGCTTGCTTGCTTCTTCTTCCAGCTCGACCACATTCAGTTCATCAGCTGCGTAAGTGCGGAGTCCTTCCAGTTCCTTCTTGTGGGCCTGCAGGACCAGCTCTGTCAGACGGGTGAAAGACTGAAAAAGAGGGGCAACCAAGAGGTTTTTTGTTGTTGTTTCTTTTTAAAAACTTGTTTATTTATCGTTAGATTTTTATCCTGCCTTTATTTCTTTACTCAAGGCAGAGAACATACCTAATACTCCTTCCTCCTCCTGTTTTTCCCACATCAACCCTGTGAGTTGGGTTGGGCTGAGAGAGTGACTGGCCCAAAGTCACCCGATTGGCTTGCATGCCTAAGATAGAACTAGAACTCAGAGTCTCCTGGTTTCTAGACCAAACTGCAATCTGGGTGACTGGATGTTTAGAAATAAACGAACTTGCTACTTAAACTAGGTAGGACTAAATCACCTACTTGAGCACCTATTTTAGACTCAAACATACTTAAGAGTTCCTTTTTTCACCCTGTATATATCAATATTCTATAATATATTATACATGTATTTTTTTTCCTTCTCAAAAGGAAGGAAGGCTTTTTACCATTTATGGTGGATGTATGACAAAGCAAGAAAATATTGGAGCAGGATTTATGTGTTAATACAGAAAATTCTTAAAATGAATATAGAAAGAAAACCAGAGACTTTTCTTTTGGGGCTAATGGACAAAATCTTGGAAAAAAAAGGGGAACCTTGATGTTATATATGTTGACAGTAGCAAGAGTACTCTACGCTCAGAAATGGAAGACTACGTCGATTCCCACAGCAAAGGAATGATTGCAAAAACTGATGGAATTAGTAGAGATGGCTAAATTGACTGGACTGATTAAAGAAAAGAATACAAATACTTTTACTGATATGTGGAAACAACTTCTGGACTTTGTGCTTGAGGTGGAAAAAAATGAAACTCTGGTTTTGGGCTTTACCTATTAGCTAGATTTGATGTTATTGAAACATTTAGTTTATATTATTTTGTAAAATAAAAAGTTGAGGTTTGATGTTGATATTTTATTTTACTGCACCAAAAGAAGTTGGAAGACAATGCCTTTTTCCCCCCCTCTTCCTTCCCTCACTTTCTATTCCCTTTTCCCTTCCCTATCTTTTCCACTATTCACTTTTGTATTTTCATTGTATATATTATAAACTAATAAAACTTATATGTAGAACAGAAGGAAGGAAGGAAGGAAGGAAGGAAGGAAGGAAGGAAGGAAGAAAAGAAAAGAAAAAGTGTTATAATTGGAAGACAAAGTTGTCTTGATGTTCATTAAATTTTAGTGACCTGGAAACCCCTATCTTAAATTCTTAACTCTTACCCCAAATTCTTACCTCTTTGATGTTCAAGTTGGTACAGGCACTTGTTTCATAGAAATCCATGCCATATTCCTTAGCTAGCTGAAAGACAAAATAATAACGATTGACATATAAACCCAGAGGACTAGTATATTTTTCTACTACTATCTTCAAATCTACCTTTCCACTTCTATTTCACCTCCAAATCTAAGAAACCTACTTATAGAAGGTAAGAACAATATTCTCCCACAGCTTGTACTCTATGTTATTAATGTATGGTTAGAAAACTGGTTGATCAAGATCTCAGATACAGATCTCAATTCATTTTTAATAAAACAATGATTCACCCAATTTAAAACAAAATATATAGGAGATCTATATAGAAAAGATAGCAGCTTCCTGATTTCATTTCTATAGACTTGTGTATCATGACGTTAAATTGCTTTCCATTGCTTTTATTTGATAGCTCTCACCCACATAAAATATACCTACATATTTAGGTATGATGAGGGCTTCATATAGAAGTTGTGAGAAAAATATTCCTCACATGCTAATTTTCCATGAGGCGGGAAGTTCTTTTGTATAGAATGTCATTTAGTGCCATGAGCTGCTTGGACTAATGCAGCTCAGCTGACAGGCTAGTAGTCCATCACCCTAATAAATGTCTGGCTTCTATAACTGGACCTGCCTATGATTTTTACCTGGAGGCCTTGCTCTCGGCCCACCTGCCTCTTCTGCTCTTCATCTGCTTTATTCCCAATAAGGATCTTCTGGACACCATCTGGAGCATACTGGAAAGGATATGAAAGTCTTTAGTCCATTTCTATCTGCATGGCTAAGTAAGAACTGAGCTGAAAAGTATTGCTCATTTTTATTTATTGCCATTCTTGTGCTTTGCATACAGAGGAGAAAAATCACAGGACCAAATATTTTTATTTCTCGGGATTAAAAGAGCACCATCCAATAATATTCTTCATCTCATAAGCATCTCAACTTGTCCTAGAAGCAATGGGCTTCAAGGACCCAGAATATAACTAAGCCTCCAGAAGGTTAGCCAAACGAATGAGCTCCCACATTTAATTCCCTGCACAAAACCTTTAATTCCAAACTGATTAAATTTATGTGCTGATATGAGAATTTTCCTTAAGTTCACTCAGAAAGCAGCAAGTTATTTCGGTGAAGGGGGAGCAGAATATAAAAGGTCTCCCAAGTTATCGTCTACACTGATTTGGTACACCGGGTGAGAATTATGTGGCCAATCCTGAGGCAAAATGGAAAATATATTACAAGCTATGCTTGTACACCTTTGGAAAAGATTTCTTCGGGGAAAAGTCAGAGAACATTCCTCTGTGCAGAAACAGTCAGACATTCCTTGATTTACAATCGGTCACTTAGTAACCGTTTGAGGTTACAATGGATCTCTAAGTAGGAGTACTTATGACCAGAATTCAAAGTTCTGATGGTCTCCTCCCACAGGTCATGTGACTATGCTTCAGGTGCTCTCAACACCCAGGCTGCATTTACAGCTGTTTGCAGCATCCCAGTCATGTCACCACGTTTTATAATGGCTTTGCCAAAACCCAGCATTTACTTATGGGTTTTGGCAAACCTGCCCCATAGTGAGCCACTGATTTGTTAAATGACCACAGTTTGCTTTACAACTGTGATATTTGCTTAACAACAGTCACAAGAAAGTTCATAAAATCGGATCATTCACTTGGGTGATTTACGACCGTTACGAGTTACGACCATGGTGGCAGGATTCATTGCAGTTGTAACTAGAGGATTACCTGCATAGCCATTTGGCCACAACATTCCCCAGCAAACCTCCCCCAGTAAATTTGCCAACAGCAATGGAATGTTTCTGCTTACTTCGTCCACATCGCTGGCCCATTTCATTATGTGCTGATATGAGCGCTCACTGCTAATGTCGTAAACCAAAAATATCCCCTGCAAAGAGAACCAGGTAAGAGAGCAAAAGAAATGTGAGCATCACGCAAAGTGAAAAAGAAAAGGGACCTTTACTCAGAGGAAAATAAATTTACTATTAGGTCACGTCCTAATATTTACCTCAGAAAACAAGCACAGGAAAGCATTTGGGGAATGATACATTAATATAGAGCAGACATGTCAAACACAAGGCCTGGGGGCTGGATGTGGCCCGCGAAGTGGTTTCATGTGGCCTGCGAAGCATCCTGGAAACAGTGAGGGAATGGCCCCCACTGCCTTGGCCCTGGCCCAGGCCGGCTGGGAGGGAGCCGATGTACAATTTTGTGGTTGCCATCTGTGCTGAAATGCATTCAGTCTTAGCTCCATAAGGCTCTCCAGAAACAGCGAGGAACCAGCTCCTGCCGTGTCGGCCCCGCCCTCTGGGTGCATGCTGGGGAGGTGTAACCCTTTGTGAGGAATGAAGAAATGCACCATGCCTTGGCGCTTGCCCTGGTCCCAACCCCTTCTGCCAGAGATCCTCAGATCTGTCCCACTTCTGCCCAGGCTCCCACAGGCACCCTTGACGCGAACGATGTAGAGCTGGCCCTGCCCACCCAGTAGGCCACATCCACTCCATCCATGCCTACCCAGCAGGCCGCACCCACCCTGGGCACACACCCCCAGCCCCCCCCCAGGGCAACCACAATGCTGATGCGGCCCTCAATGAATTTAAGTTTGACATCCCTGATATAGATGGTAATGGAACCAGTTTGAGGCAGCAGGTTAGAAACTGGGAGACTATGAGTTCTAGTTTAACCTTAGCTATGAAACCAGGTGGGTGACTTAGATTAATCACTCTCAGTCCTAGGAAGAAATCAAGAGCAAATCATTTCTGAAAATCTTGCCAAGAAAACTGCAGGGATTAGTCCAGGTAGTTGTCAGGAGTCAACACTGACTGAAAGACATGTGCGTGCACACATACACACACACATATGCATGCGCTTAATATTATCTGCTGTCCTTTCAGTGGATTAGAGTGGAAATGTAGGAAAATGCTTAAATGTATACTGCATTAGGGATTGGACAGGATAGTCAAATGGTCATTGATACATACTATATTTCTCAAGCCCATCTCCCAAATCTTCCCCAGAGCCTCTCAGTCTTTCTCCTAACATTCTAAAATTATATATGCTATTAGTTTGCAGTGAGGAAAAATGCAAATGAGTCTGGCTGGCTACAGAAATACCCAGAACCTATTGTGAGACTACTCTGGTGCTCCAGCAACATCATTCCGGAAGGGAAAGAAAAAACCACAGAGCTATAAGGTATGTGTGTGTGTATGTGGGGGGGGGAGGGATTTCCCAGCATCCATGCATTTAACAAAAATAAATAAATAAAAAATGCATTTGTGTTAGAAAATATAATAAACAGAGAAATTATACTGCAATTTACAGTGTACAAATTACACTGTGATACTGTAGTTTTTCCATAGACTTCCATATTTCATCTATACTTTTAGCCAAAAATATCATACCTGGGCACGTCTGTAGTACTGTTTAGTGATTGTTTGGTATCGTTCCTGGCCTGCAGTGTCCCTGGAACAGAAGCAGATGTTATTATGATGAGCGGAAAGCTCACTTTTTGTGGGTAATACAATTTATGGCATGAAGTCAATTGCAGCATCCTACTGATAGAAAGCTCAACCTCAAAACTTCCCACAGATTTCAGGAAGAAAAGCACAACAGCTCAACAAAGTTAGGAATAATTTATTCTGTTGTTTTATTTATGGCATTTATATGCTGTTCCAAGCCAGTGTGCAAGAAGAATTAAAAGGGAGAAGATTTATAACAGCAATAAAAGCATTAAAATATTTAAGCACTGCTTATACACCTGCAGTAGTAGGAGCCAAATTATAAAGATGCTGAAATTTCTGAAACTCTGAGATACTGGGGATCGGTTCCCTATCTGAAGGAAGCAATGTCGTGGAAGAAGGTTGGTTTCAGAGATGTCACTGTATGGCATGTTTTAAAACATCAGAGAACAAAGAGAAAACTAAAAGGAAGCAACAGATGGAAAGCATGTTATCTTGACAAAGCTTTATCAATGCATCCTGTTTATCCACTTCAAATTCTTCTCCAAAAGAATTTTCCGTGCAACTTTGTAGAACTTCTTTGTTTTCAGATTCTAACAGACAAATGTTCCTGAGAAACCAACTGGCTTAAAAAGCAGAGTGAAGATTCTCTATAAGTACATAGAGAGGCAATGGGGTTGGCCCAAGGACTGGAGCAACCTGGATGTCAATATTGGTCAAGGTTGGTGTACACTTGGAGGGGGAGAGATATGCAAATTGCCAGAGTAGCTTGAAGAAAAATGCAGACAAAGAGGAGTTAGTTTGCCCACTCTTGTTTTAAGTCTGCTTGAAATGCTGGTTAGTTTGACCACTCTTGCTTTAAGTCTGTTTGAAACACTGGTGATCTATTTCTAAGCTTTAATGTTAAAATACTAATAAGCCCCCAAGAAGCTTTTTATAGAAAAGAAATGGTGGAAGCTGGACTGATGGACATATGGTAAAATAGTATCTTTCAATTCTGGAGACCCCATCCCCAAGTCTAGGGAAGAATTAGAATTAGAAGGTCACGCTTTACATATCAACAAATGAAGGGAAGATTTAAACTAGACAAAAAAGGCCATGGTTTTGAGTTTGCTAAAAATGAGTTGGAAATTCTACTATGTGACGGTGATGATCATATAATTGCCAAGATCTATAAAACATTATTAAAACTGAATTTGGAAAATGAACATGTAAAACACTGTATGATCCAGTGAGTGAGGAATTTTGGGTATATTGTGATGTTTGAACAATGGGAGAATATTTGAATAAAAGGATCAAAATTCACATTAAATTATAAAATGATATATTGCTGGTATTTAATACCAGATAAGTTATCTAGAATGTATAAAGGTATTTCAAATGAATGTTGGAATTGTAAATGTAAAGAAGGGACTTTTTATCATTTATGGTGGACATGTGATAAGGCAAAGAAATATTGAAGTAGGATTCATATATTAATGGAGAAAATTCTTAAAGTGAACATAAAGATTAAACCAGAAACTTTCCTTTCCTCCTAATGGAAAGAGAACTGGAAAAAAAATTTGGAACTCTGATTTTATAGATGGTGACGGCAGCAAGACTGCTCTATGCACAAAAGTGGAAGGATGTCTCGATTCCTACCATGAACGAATGGTTACAAAAGCGGATGGAATTAGCAGAGATGGCCAAATTGACTGTGCTGATAAAAGAAAAGAACATGATTTTGGGTTTTAACAATTAGATTGATTTGCCGATACAGAAATGGCTAGTGCATATTACTATAGAAATGTAAAAAGTTGAAATTTTATTTTAATATTTGATTTTACTGCAACAGAAAGAGTCGGAAGTCAATGCCTTTTGTTTCTTCCCCTCCCTTTCTTCACACTTTTTTTGTTTTCCCTTTTTCTACTGTCGTCCCCTACTGTATGCTTTTGTAGTTTCACATTTTATATTATAAATGAATAAGACTAATTAAAAAAAATACTAATAGTCAGAATTTTATTTATGTTTAAATATATATAGCCACTCATCTCAAATATATGACTCTAGAAGGCTCACAGCAATTTATAAGGAATATAAAAAACAAAGCCAATACAAAAATAAAGGTATAAAACCATATAAAAACCATATGATGATTTAATGGTGGCGCAAGGACAATGGAGAGGAACTGAAATGAAAGCATAAATAAGCAGATAAACAAAACCAGCCAATGCCAAACTTCTGCATATCGTGTCAAATACATTTGGTGCTTATTTCAGAACAGGATGACACTTCTAGGCATGCTTTTTAGGGAGTAAGAAATTTAATTTTCTGAATAAACATACTTTCTAATTGTACTGTAAGAATAAGTCTTTTAAATACACCCTATTTACCACATATTGCCCAATCATGGGAAAAGGGGCTAATGGATAGGTGCAGCACAAAGGACTGAGGGACTGTCACATGATGAAAATTATATTCATTAGCCATTCTGATTTTCCCACAGATTCACATGGATAAATGTATACTTATTGACATCATATCATAAAAATGTTTAACATATCTCACTATGGAAGTCCTTGTCTACATTGTACATACAGTACTGTACACAAAAAAGAAGAGAGATGGAGACAGGGAAGGAAAATAAATTAGTAGAATAGCGAGTCTTACATTAGTTAAATAGATAACTGGACCAAACAGCAGTGTGAACCGTCAGACTGCTTGTTTTCCCACCTGTTTCTCTGAATTGTGTAAAATTAGAAATCAGGAACAATTTCCAACTGTATTTATTCTTCATCCAAGGCCAAGCACATTCACTTGCACAGCAGAATGAAGACAGTAAAGGGCAGTGGAAGAGTCCAAGCAGCTGCTGTGTACTGATTATCTTTCTGCTTTTACAGCCTTTGTCATACCTGATCTGGACTCTGGCCCAAAAGTGGCCACAACTAATATTTTTACAAGGTGTGACTTCCCAGTCAATGTATCCCAGAACATACTGTACACAGGGTATGTTTCAGGTTTCAGTTTGGGAAACATGTGTGACTTGGCTGCCCCCTGCTGGGTAGGTTTAAATGTATTCCTCTTAAAAACAGAAAATAAATATCCCTTTCATGCCACACATAACAATGAGGCATCTACGTTCCATTTTAACAGGGCATTACTCACTGCATATTCTCTTTAAGTTGTCAATATCTGCAATTTGCAGTAGGAAAAAGGGACAGCCAAGTCTCAATGTGGAGTGGGGCCACTATGATCAAAGGATTAAAATTCCTCAATCCCATGGTCAGCTCTCCTTTTGTATCCCACAGAGAGAATGGAAGATAGAAGGGAAGCTGAGGAGAAATCTCAGTCCACATGAAGGGAGAGAACTGGGCAAGGAAGAAGTGCAGTAAGATATGACTGTCCTATCAGCTTTGGCTCTGGCCCAATTCAGCACAGGATTTCAATCCCAGTATTGTGCAATCTCTGCCAAAGAATTGATCTCCCAGCCCTACACCAATGAACCGCTCAGCTCACACAATAAATAAACAATAAAAGCATGATGATGCAACTGAGTCATGAAGTCAAAGTGGAAATAATAGGAATGAAGTGGGTTGTGTTAGTTGCATCATGACATGCAGCTCATCAACAGCACAATGTCACAATGTGTGTGATGTCACTTGCTCCGCTGCAGTTACCCATGCCTATGTCCAAGCAACACCTCAAACTTCACTGGCCCTCTTTATCTGAAGATATTCAACATAGAATATTAATTCCTTACTGCCACTAATAATTTTAAAAGCTTGTGATTTGCAAAGTGTTTTAATACGTGTATGTATATGTTTACTTTCTAACTACCCTTTAAATTAGATCACATTCTTTGTCAATTTATACTGAAATGTGTAATTTGTGTAAGATCTCTCAATTAATCCGTAACAAGGAAAAACATAACACCTGTATTACTTACCAGATCTGGATTCGGACCTTAATTCCATCTACTTCTATAGTCTTCATTTTAAAATCAACTCCTATGAACAATAAAATAAAATCATATGGAGTGCAAATAGTAAGCCTAGCAATTATCCAATATATTTTGCTGTATGAAATTAAATTATGGTTAGAATGTTAAAGCAGAGACATTATGTCAAGTCTGTGAGTTTGTCAAGTCCTACAGTTCTGGCAAACTCAGGATCAAAAACTACCTTGATTTCCAACAATATCTTCATTGCCAATAAGGTAAAATAATAAGAGCTTGAAAGCGTGTCAAAGCAATTCCCAAATCAACTTATACTTAGTGTAATCAAGACAGACTTATTCAGTGAAATCCAATTGAGTCCAATTCTTTATTTGCTTACACCCTAGAAACAGGTAGTCCTCAACTTACATTCATTTAGTGAGCACTACAATGGCGCTGAAAAAAGTGACTTATGACCATTTTTCACATTTACAACTTGCAGCATCCCTATGGTCACATGATCAGAATTCAGACACTTAGCAACTGGTTTGTATTTATGATGGTTGCAGTGTCCTGGGGTCATATGATCATCTTTTTTGACCTTCTGACAAGCAAAGTCAATGGGGAAGCCAGTTCACTTAACAACCATATTACTAACTTAACAACTACAATGCTTCACTTAACAACTGTGGCAAGAAAGGTTGTAGAGTGGGGCAAAACTCACTTAACAATTGTCTGGCTTAGCAATGGAAATTTTGGGCTCAATTGAGATAATAATAATAATGATGATGATGGAAGGGACCCTGGAGGTCATCTAGTCCAACCTCCTGATCAGGCAGGAAACCCTATAACATTTCGGACAAAAGGCTGTCCAGTCTCTTCTTAAAAACTTCCAGTGTTGGAGCATTCACTGCTTCTGGAGGCAGGTTGTTCCACTGGTTAATTGTTCTCACTGTCAGGAAGTTTCTCCTTAGTTCTAGGTTGCTTCTCTCCTTGATTAGTTTCCATCCGTTGCTTCTTGTCCTGCCTTCAGGTGCTTTGGAGAATAGCTTGACTCCCTCTTCTTTGTGGCAGCCCCTGAGATATTGGAACACTGCATCATGTCCCCCCCCCGCCCTTCTCTTTATTAAACTAGACATACCCAATTCCAGAAACCGTTCCTTATATGTTTTAGCCTCCAGTCCCCTAATCATCTTTGTTGCTCTTCTCCGTACTCTTTCAAGAGTCAAGGACTACCTGTAGACAGAATTTTGCCAGACTTTAAAGCTAATAAATATACCCCGAGAGATTCTAGGGTGTGATTATCCTGAACTCCCCCCCCCAATCCGGTTGAGGACTTTGCTTCTATCTGGAATATATTGCCTCCTCCCGAAGAAACCAGGGTGCTTCTGCCAACATTCCTCTCCTCTCCTTCTCCAGGTGCACATTCCATTACATTTATGGGGACTTCTAGGGAAGCAATAGTGATCTGAAAATGACTTCGTTGAGCTGGTGACCATGGTGGAACAGAGAGCCAGCAAATGAATTGGCTTCTCAGAATTCCTCTCTGGACAAGGAGAGACCTCGGGATCATCCACAAGTGCTCATGCAATAATTCCCCATGAGTAGACTTGTAAGATATAAGTCTTCAGTGGGTTAGACTCTGGGATCTGAGGAATCACCATCTTTGCTCAAACTGCAGCTGGCACCTTTAAAAGGGCACTGGATTTACATGCTTCCTTTCTTAATCACTTCTGGAAATTGCTTGCTATGGGTTTTTCATATATATATATAAAGAAACTTCAAAATGGCAAGTTTCACTACATCGGCTGAGTTTCCATCAATCCTTGGTAACATATTTTTTTGGGGGTGGATTTTAAAATGACAGATTACAAGAATGATATGGAAAAAGATATTACACTGCATTTACAAATGAAACTGACTGATGTCTTAATAATTAAAAGGAATATACAAACAACAAACCAAGAGTGACTTGGATGATTCACCATATTTTCTGTTCTGTAAGACATTCCAGTACGATTAGTATTGTTCTCTATATCTGTTTTGTTTTCAGAAACCCCCATTGCTTGAGCAGTTGAGCCTACTTGTACACAAAACTAACCCCATGCTGTATTTACACTCAGACATACAATCTAAGTCAACATTGTGATGGTGCAATCTATCCTTTTTCTTTTAAAATTCTTCCTAGTTACAACACACTGACCAATCTATTCTTGGTCTTCTTATCTGTAAGCATTCCGTAACATCTCAGCAGCAGAACCATTTCAGCCAACTAAAGATGAAATTCTCTTAAGTAATATCTGGTGTTAAAAGACTGAACCCTATGTTACATTTCAGGGTTTATTTGGCATTGATCCTATCAATCTCAGTCAAAGAACCTGGGTCCCACAAGTAACAGAAAGGCATAAAAATGTTAAGAGTCTTAACATTCTCCTAAAGGAGAAATACAAATACTTTTCTCCTAAAGTCACAAATACAAACAAGTATTATGGAGAAAATAATAATGGATAGTGCAGAAATTCAATTGGTGCTCTCTTTCTGACTCTAAATCGTTAAACATATAAACCAGCAGGATACAAATCTCCCCTACTGAATTTTTACCTGGCAGGCAGATTTTAAAGTTACCCAGGAAAAGATAAATTCTAAATAAACCTTTATGGAGTGCTCAAAACTGCCCTACAGGTAGAGAAAGAACATCTGGGTTGCTATTTCAGGCATGTTGCCAAAGTCTCCTTGAGGCCTGTATCTTCTTTTGCTTGTAGTGCAAAATGTAGAAGTGTAGGGATCCTGAAGGAAAGGAACTTCATTTGTAACCTGCTAGCTTATTCTAGCTGTAGCATAAGAAATTGTATAGAATTTGCAGCAAGACTTTAACATTCTATAGAGAAGGACACAGGTTCACGAGTGCTTTGCCAGGTTTAATCATCCAATCAACATCCAGTCAAAGTGGTAAAATCTCTGGATGCCTTTGCAACATTAAGGTAGAGGGACTGATAGCGTCACTTGGGTGAAGTCATTTCCAGTATCTATTATTTATTTATTTAGCCACCCATCTCAGCCACATGACTCTGAGTGGCTTACAATTCTAAAATTTTTGTTGTTGTTGTTGTTAGTTGCAAAGTTATGTCCGACCCATTGCAACCCCATGGACAACATTCCTCCAGGCCTTCCTGTCCTCTACCATCTTCTGGAGTCCATTTAAGCTCACGCCTACTACTTCAGTGACTCCATCCATCCACCTCATTCTCTGTCATCCCCTTCTTCTATTGCCCTCAATCGTTCCCAGCACTAGGCTCTTCTCCAGTGAGTCCTTCCTTCTCATTAGGTGGCCAAAGTACTTGAGTTTCAACTTCAGGATCTGGCCTTCTAAAGAGCAGTTGGGGTTGATCTCTAGGACTGACGAGTTTGATCACCTTGCAGTCCAGGAGACTTGCAGGAGTCTTCTTCAGCATCAATTCTTTTGGGGTCAGCCTTTCTTATGGTCCAACTTTCATAGCCATACATTGCAACTGGGAAAACCATGGTCTTGACTATACGCACGTTGGCAGAGTGATGTCTCTGCTTTTTAGTATGCTGTCTAGATTTGCCATAACAATGAAAACCAACAAATCAATAAAAACATCCAAAGAATCTACCTACTATTTTCACTTGTGATAACGAGGCTCTGAACAGAAAGAAGCAATAGAATTCAATTTACTATAAGATGTCTAGTTTGGTTAATTAGGCTAAATAACAGCAACATTAGAAAAGAATATTTGGAGCTTAGGGTTGAACTGTGGTGCTCAGAGAGCACCAAAGACGCCAATAATTACATTCTTCAGAAGAATTTTCTGATTGAAGATTAAGTATATTGTCTTGGGACAGGCATGCTGGCTGAGGAATTCTGGGAGTTGAAGTCCACAAGTCATAAAAGGGCCAAGTTTGAAGACCCTTGTCTTAGAAGATCATACTGGTCTTTGATGGTGACCCACAAATTGTATTGGAATCACTAGGAACAGTGTACTCCAAAACTCTTATTTTGCAAACTTCCCATAGTTGCCCAAATGATATTTTCATTATCAGGGTACAAGTGAGGATTCTGGTCTTATATCACTGAGTGGGAGAACAAGACCATTTTGTAAATGGCTCATTGTGGAAGACATTGTATTGGCAAGAATGGAAAGTTTTTATTGCAAAACTGGCCAAAGTCATCTTTGATCAGTTTTACGTTTTAACCAGTCCCTGCAGCAGACAGGCTTTTCAAGTCGGACAACACGCCTGTAATTTTACCCCGTGATCCTGCTAATCTTCCATCTCAGCAACTCAAGAAAATAGAAAAATGGGGCCTGAAAGTCTAGCCAGTCAATAATCTTCTCTGCTTTTTTTAATTGAAAAAACAAAAACAAAAAACCTTGCACTATATATATGTTTGGTTTTTTTTCCCAACAGAGATACCCATTCCCAAGCTGGAGCCCTGCAAATGGACTGAGCTTCAACTCTTGTAATGCTGATCCAATTATACTGGACTATTCTAACTTTATTATGGCAGGAGTCCCCAACCTCCAGGCTATGGCCCGTTCGGAACAGGACCCTGGAAATGGCAGGTGAGTGCATGCATGTGTGTAGCTCCATTTGTGCAAATGGCAGGCGTGTTTGCCTGCTGGTCATTCAAATGGACCTGTGTACGTGTGACCATCCTCTCTCTCCCCACCCCTGCCGGTCGACAAAGCTGGAAAAGTTGGGGACTGTTCACTATGGGAATTATGGAGCACATTATCACCTCACCTAGAGGTCATCAGCATTAGGAAGGTATGATATGGAGAGACTTCTCAATGTAAGAAAAAATGTGGATAACATTATGAACAATCTGGCAAGGGTTTATTTTGCTGCAAGCCTACAAAAGCAGTATCAAAGTACATTTTTCCATCCTGGTTAAATAGCTTTTAAAAAAGAAAGAATAATGAATGAGTCAAGGCTTCACACATATCAGAATGCTTTAGGGCAATTTAAAGGCAATTATTATGGTATCATTTTTTTTTTTTTGCAGACTACAGTCTATCATTAGGGGAAGTGACACATTTATTACTGCTATTGCTATAAAAATTTACAACAGCAGTTTAGAAAAATCCTTGGTGAATTTAGAATGACATCTACCATGGCAAAGAAGATTGTACAAAATATGATTATTTCTATGCAGCACTAGGGGGAAAAATATCTTACAGTACAATTAGTAAGAAATTGTCATAACTGTTTATAAGCAAGATAAGAGAACAGGTAACTAAGCCACCATTGCAAAATTTTCTGATTTATGATTGGCATGACCAACAAAACTGCCTTTTAAAATATAAGATTAACACTTAAGTCATATGATTTTTTTCTTCACAAATGCAGTTTGTGATAAATCCTCATGATTGTGGGAGTCTCTTTCTTATTTTTGTTTTCTTCAGAATGAAGTAAAAAATCCCTATGAACCTAAGGATAAATGCTAAAGGGTCTATTGTTTTTGCTGCCATCATCAAAACTTTTCTTGGTCTGGGAATTATTTTTTCTCCCCCTTCTCCCTCTTTCCTAATGTGACCAGGTATAATGTAGGGAAGACATTGAACAGCAGGGTGAAAAGAAATAATTAAATGAATTTTTATTAAATAGCTTAAAATGAATTATAAACAGGCTGCTTTAATCTTATAATAACCTATAGTCTATCATTTCCTGCTTTCCCTGGAACTAAGTATCTAGAACTTGGTTCCCTGTAAACTTTAACTAAGTGAAATGGGGCAAAACTTTTTGAACCAAGGTACCTCAAATGGGCTAACTTTCAGAATGTGTCCAAAATCCGGGAACTATGAACTCCTATGGAATTTACATTTTATGACATAAAAATTATCATAAAACAAAATTACGACATAATACAAAATGGCATAAAACATTTGCTGTGCTAATGCTTAACTGTGCCATACAGTTCAACATAGGCTATTTTCAAGGCAGGTACATCTCTAATTGTATTCCAACTTTTCCAGTGAAGGCAGTCCATTAGAATCTCTACCAGCTATTGAAGTCATTGAGGAAACTGATAAGAAAATACCTATGAAAGGATGACCCAACGTGTCACGGGTTGTCTATTAAGTTCTTGTGAGCTTACTTTACATTTCTTGTGAGATTTGTCTTAGTGGTTCCAGTCCTGCCTGTTGTGTAAACACAGTTGCTGCCCCTGAAAGTGGCCATCATAACCATTAGCTACCTATGAATTTTGTTTTCTTTTTAGTAGTATCATTTTTTAAAATAAGCACAATGAAAAATACATTCAACATTATCTTAAACATGATTCTAGCATAATTTTTCCCAAAAAAGTCATTAGACCAGAGTCACATATGCCTCATGAATGAGGAAATTTCCAAAAATGTTTATAATGCAAATCTAATTCTATCAAATGTAGTTTTTGTCCTAGTCTATCAGCTAAGTTTTAGTAACCTATCTCAAATTCAAGGCAAAATATGGCCTTTGATTATGAAAACTTTTTGTATGTCATTAGAAGTCTGTTAGTGACTTTATTCTCTAAATTCATACTTCTTTCATTGCAATTCTGGATTATGTGTAAAGGAAATAGAAATAAGTTATGGTAGAAATAGATACTTCTAATGGTGGGAGTGGAATATACTGAGGACTCTGGATGACACCATTAAGATGGGTAAGAGGGATTGATTTTGCATCTGATAAGGCTCGGTTTCACATCAGTTGATAGTGGATGGGTGGTAGATGAAGTGAGGGGTGAAGGGTAGTAGATAAAGTAAGGAGTGAAGGAGGATCATGGCCACAAAAATGTGGCCCTGTAAATAGTTGGAGAAGAATGAGGTAGCACCAGATAACAGCATTTGAACGAAGGGAAGGGAAAGGAAAGGAAGAGGGAAGGGAAAGGAAGGGAGAAGAGAAAGTAGAAGGAAGGAACTGGACTGTGCGATGGTGTCAGAAAACTGAAAATACAAGTGAAGAGAGGAAGAGTTCCAGCATTGCCATGACCTCATCTAGTGTGAGATTTTGAAACTGTAGACACCATTACGGAGTTGCTTCATGGAAAGTCAATAGTAAGAGATTAGACTTGATGAATTGATCTATGAAAGGCTGAAAGGCTTCTATGTCAATCTGCTGTGAAAGGATTGGTGAGTGCAGGCCAGCAAAGGAAGGAAATAAATAGAGAAGGTGCTCAAATATAGACATAGAAGAGCAGAGGGACATTCAGGAGATCACTGGTATCTGAGGTTGTTGTTTTTCTCTCCCACTTTAATTGGTTGATCTACCAAGAAGCTTGTGTTGTTGATCTGTTTCTGTGCCATAAGACAAGAGGAAGAGACTAAAGGATATTTCTTAAGTGAAAAACACATGGCAGGGAAGTTGGACACCCTCCCCCCCAATACATAATGGGGTGAATGGAAAAGAGATTCTGCCCACACCAAGAGCCCTAGCTGGACTGGAAAAACAGAATGTGCCTCTATGGCTCCATCACCTACCAATAAGATTCATATTCTGTCTGGCAGATTTGTGCAATTGAGAGAGTGTTATGTACTTGGACTGGGATTTAGCCATCAATCGACCCTTCAAAGAGCTGATTTTTCTTTTTCTCAATTTAGCCAGCTTAGACAAATCTCCAACCTATCTTTTTTTGGGGGGGGGGGGATTGGAGAACCTGGTACCGCTTCAGTTTTAGAGGGTTTTGGAGGAAATGGATTTCTGGATTATTCTCTATTGAATTTTAAGCCCAAGTCTAGGATGGAAACAGCACCGGTCATCCTGAAAGATGGGATGGAGGGCATCTACCTCTCTGCGATACCTGTTATCATAAATTATAGTATCGTCCTGATGCTTCTGTGAGGATTGGAGGAATTGTTCAGTGGTGGCATCAGTCTTTCTTTATTGAGTGGTTTCAGTGTGTAGAGAGGAAGAAGGATGCTCTAATGTAGGGGTGTCATGCGGAAGCCGTGCCCACCCCATTGCCAGCAATGGCAAAACTGTCCCGATACGTTGTGCGATATCACTTGATGTTGCAAGTTTGACATGTCTGATCTAATGGTTGCCCTATCCATACTATTCCACATTTGTATAAAGTTATTGAGAAAGTCCTGGTGCCTCCTTACTCTTGGATGAAGTGTCATTAGTATCCTGATGATACTGAATGACACTGATACATCATCACAGCCAAGATTGCTGTGGAAATCCTGACTTGGTGCCTAGAGATCCAGATAGGTCAAAACAAGCTTATTTTAAATTCCTCTGTTGTTCAAATTGTTCTTTGGTGGTGCCAGATCTCGCTTTTGAGGGTTTATACTTGTCTTAAGGAACTGATCTGCAATATGGGTTTCTCCTGGCCTTATATTCCAGAATTGATTCATCTAACCAGATTGCCTGATGTGAGCCACTGACTATTTCTTGAGAGCAGGAATACAATATCCTTTGCCTGCCCCCAGAGCCCCAGGACGGCAACTTTCTCCCATCTATTTCTGCAGTGGGCTAAAAGTAACATTTTCTGTTTTTTGTCAATACACAAGCAATGCTGCCTGGTTTACCTACTGCTCATTTAATTCTTCACAAATGCCTTCACACCGACTGGCTTGTTCGCACTCTGGCAGGAATATCCCTTCCCTCCAATCACTGCTCTCCATACCATTTTTAAAAAAAAATTACCTGGAGGAATAATGAAAGCCTGGGTTTAAAAAATAAATAAATTCATTGATGGAATAGTGAAAGAACAGATCTGTCTATTGTTCTTTACAAATTAACTGATGAAACTGTGAAGAAATGCCCTGGGTGGGAGAGACAAAGAAAAAGGGAATCTAAGCAATTGAAGGACCTGGTGCATCTGCTTCAGGCAGAACTTCTGTCTGCCATAATCACAGCTGAAAGTGAAAGAAACAGCTGAAATCAAGAAAGGAATTTTTAAAAATCAAATTCATTCCAAGTCCATTTATGCATAGGAGGCAAACAGTTAAAGCTGCAGAGCAGAAACCCAAGTAAATATCACAGAGCTACTAAAACAGTGAGTTTTTCAATTTATATCTTAAATGTTTAAATTTGGATGAAACCCCTCTAAGTTCAGATGAGTAGGATGACTCCTGAAATTGAAATGAAAATAAATTAATATTGTTTAAAGCAGGGCTTTTCAACCTTTTCACCCATTGTACACTTTTAGGATATGGCAACATCTGAGTACCACCAGTCGCCTAGCAAGGTGTCCAAAACTTGATGACCAAAAAAAAAAAAAAAAAGGAAAAAAGTGATAAAGTACAGGTAGTCCTTGATTTACAACAGTTGACTTAGTGACTGTTCGAAGTTACAGTGGCACTGAAAAAAGTGCCCCCCAAGCCACAGCCGACAAGACACCTGCCTGCCCGCCTGGTGGCGCTCTTCCTCCTCTCCGAGGTTTCATTGTTGTGAGCATTTCTGTTGAAGATTGGCAGCAGGGGTGGGGTGGGGGATATTTGGTTTCATCCAGCACTTATGAACAAATAAAAGATGTATCCAAAGGAAGTTCCTTGACTTCCTTTGGTCCAAAGCTCCATTACAAATCTCACAAACCAGAACTATCTAGATCAGGGGTCCCCAACCCCCAGGCAGCAGCTCGGTACCCAGCCACGGCCTGTTCGGAACTGGCTGTGAAAGTGGTGAATGCACGTGTGCAAACCTTCATTTGCACAAGTGGCAGGTGCATATGCCTGCCGCTTGCGCAAATGTAGCTGTGTGTGCACACTCATGGCATTTGCACAGAACCATTCCCTCCCCCCCCACCTCACTGGTCCACCAAACTGGAAAGGTTGGGGAATGCTGATCTAAATGAATGATCCAGTGACTGAAGGTTTTACCTGGAACTGTATAATCACTGTTAATCTTTAGATGTGATTGCCAGTAGACTATTACTTCATACCTCTGCCACTATGTTATCATGTTGAGAAGAGATGAAGCACAGGGGTCTCATGTGCCAAACCAGCTTCTACTAGCAGACTTCCAATGACTGCTAATCAACCAAAATCATTATTCCTCACAATTTCCAGTGATTTCTACTGATATGTCTGTGAGCGCTTTCAACAACCCCCATGACAGGCCCACCAGCAGCACTCAGACCTCTGACAGGAGCTATCTGTCCCTTTCCAGGAACTCTTCTGCTTCAGAGAGAAAAAAGAAGGCTATCAGAAAGACAGAAAATGCCATCACTTGTACCTCTCCCCCAGATCCATTTTCCTTCCTCTTTGGTTCATATATGTCACCCCCAGCAAAACAGCCCTGGGGAAATGCAGTCTTCAACAGAGGAGGGGCTCCCCCCCAGCTAAGGATTCAATTCAGTCTTTTCAGAAGAACCACCCCAAAACACCTGAAAGGGGGGACTTCTTTCCCCCTTTTAACATAACCATCCCAGTTGAAAGTCAATAAGCAAAGAGCTATTTTCTGTTGCTTGGTTTCTCTCCCCACCACCACCACCTCCGCTTTCCACATCTGACTCACGGATGTATGCCTTCCTCATGCTTTTACAAGACTGACGTCGCGTTTATTTTCACCTTAGAGGTGAGCTGGCATTACTGCATCCAAGAGCAGCAGTACCAGCAGCCGCCCGTAACTCAAGATCCAGGACGCCGATTGACTAAACACTGACTCCCTGCAATTGAAAGCACCCCTATAGCAGGCCCGGCACGGAGGCAGCATCGAACAGGTAATCGGAACCTCAGGCACTTGGGAAAGGATTGGGGAACGGGGGTTTTCTTCACTCTCCTAAAAGTGGCGGGCGGCTCTACCTCGGGAGCCGGATTCCCAGATTTGAAGTCTCCCCCTTCCCGGTTCCAGGTTATTAGAAGCGGCGGTGCGGATACACTCGCGGGTTAACCCTCGACAAAGGCGCAGTGGCTTGACGTTCGATGCCCCCCGCCCGCCCCTCATGAGATCCCTAGAAGAACAGCCGTCAAGCCTCAACCATCGCCTATTCCTACGAAAGGCATATTGCACGGCGAATAAGCGGCCCGGGCTTCCTCCCGCTCAGCCCTCCGGATGCCTTTGTCTGCTGTTCCAGATGGACGGAGGTGGCGGAGAAGCTACCGAGTCCCGACCAGCCCGGATCCCTCCTCCTTTCCTTCCCCCCCCCACCTCGCCCAGTACCGATGGTAGAGATGTGCGAAGAGTGGAACTCGTTGTCCGTGAAGCGGCACAACAAGCAGGTCTTGCCCACGCCGGAGTCCCCGATGAGCAGCAGGCGAAAGAGCACGTCGTATTGCTTGGCCATGGCGGGGGCCGGTCGGGCTTCAGCCCCGCGTTGCGCCGGCTGCCATCCCAGCCGAATGCCTTCCGCTCCCGGCGTCTCTTGGTCTGGAGCGGCGGTAGCCCCAGAGGCGAGCGGGCAGGCGGGAAAGCTGGCGTTGCAGGAAGGGGGAGGGGGGAGAGGAGACGAGAGAACGCGAGCAATAGCGCCTCTTCGATCACTTCGATCCACTAAGGAGGAAATCCAAAGAATGGGGGAAATTAGAGGCGGTTGGTGGCGCCGCCGGCAGAAAAAAATCACCTCTCCTCCAAGCGCGGCTGGCAGGGAGGATGGAAAGCGCTACAGCAGCTGCTGCTCCTATTGGAGAGTGGGGGTGACACAAGAACCCACGCAGGGAGCTCTTCGGGCGCGCGGAACTGAGACGCGCCCCCCCCCCGCGCCCCCGGCTTCGAGATCCGGCTATTTGCCCCGCGTGCTGACGACCGGCGAAAAAGGCGGGGAATGAAGGGAGGCGGAGGCTGAGAACGTTCAACTGGGCGGAGTTTTATGCTGCCGGCTGCCTCAAATTGCCGGAGAATGGCGAGGAAGGGTAACGGTGGATATATTAGAAAGGTGCTATTTCAAAAGGCAATGGGGCTATATATATTTTTTCCCTTGAGGAAGAAAAAGGCGTTTCGCTTCTCGTACAAGAAGCTTCATCAGTTCTGGCTGGATGGGGAGTGGGGACAAAAGTGGTACTATATGTAATGACCACTATTATCTCAGTCAATTTATGCCGTTGTAGTCAAACCACAGTTTAATCTGTTGGGCAAAACGGAACTTTTTAGAAAAAGGAAAAGTGCTAAGCAGGTACTTAAAAACAGTGATAAGCAGAGTTTGGAGGCTGTGTGTGTGTGGTTTTTTTTTTTGCTAGAAGGCTAAGACTTTGCTTGAAATTCATTAACTTGGCCATTGTTGGAAATATAAACTTACATTCGGTAGACTCAATTCAGTTTAATAGGTTATGATTATATTTTCTTCGCAGCAAGTGCTGAAGAATAGTTGTTCAAAACACTGGGGATTGATATTAATACTCTTGACATATTAATTTCAGATAATGTCAATGGGGATTTGGTCCTTGATCTAAAACTGGTTATTGGAACATACTATAATGCAGCATACTAGCACTCTGCTGTTTCTAATAGTGTAATAACCACCCTTGGAACAACTGTAGTTTTTTATATATGGCCATAAACTTTATAGTTAGGCACATGCAATTATAGGATTATATCTTGATGTAATGGCAAAGTGTTGGATTGAGAAATGGTTTGGGTTCATGAACTGCTTAACTATGATTGACTGGATAAACCAAAATTAGCTGGGTTCACACAACATGCTAAGGCAAAGTCAAACCAGGTTACTACTTGATGTGATATATGAAGTTAGCCAATATCTCTCAGTCTACTTCATCTGGTTATTTTGACATAATTACAGTATAAAAGGAAAAAGGAGTGGGAGAGACAAACTTGCTGTCTTGAGCTTCTGGAAGACTGGCAGGATGTAAATGTACTAAGTATATAAAATATAGGAAAATATATATTTAAGGGTGAATTATAAGATCTCAAGTGGTGGCACCTAAAACCACCTAATTGGTTTTATTATGTCAAGCTTTCCTTAGGCATTTTGTCAGAGAAGAGAGCAACTAAATTTGGGTGTCAATATAATACAGCATTCAGTGATGTAGTTAAGGAAGTTCCATCTTGAGATTTCATAGATTTTTGCCTTTCCTCTTCTAGAATGTAGCCTTAATTACTTCCCTTCAGATTTATTTATTTATTCCCCTCTTTAGAAAAATAGGTTCAAAAATAGGTTACAACAAACGTGGAACAATTTACATTCTTAATTCTATAACAGGATTGAAATATACAATCAGATAGTACAGGTCATCAATTTACAACCATTCATTTAATGACAATTTGAAATTATAATGGCACTGAAAAAAGTGGCTAATGACCATTTTTCACAGTTACAACCATTTCAACATCCTGTGGCCAAGGACTGAAAAGATACTTGTTAACTACCATGTATTTATTACTTTTGCAATGTCATGGCATCATGAGATCACATTTTGCAACCTTATGACAAGCAATGTCAATGGGAAAGCCAGATTCTCTTAACCATATTGCTAACTTAACAATTGCAATAATTCACTTAACCATGGCAAGAAAGGAACTTGAACAAATGTTTTGCTTAGCACAATTTTGACTGTCTTGCTTAGCACAACGTACAACTATGGTTGTAAGTTGAGTACAAGTATAACAAATCGCTTCCCACCCAAATACCAAAATAAAATCCAAATAAAAATAATTCTCTTCTTACAGGAAGAAAACAGCACAGCAGATCCTAAAACCTCCCTGAAAAAGCAATATTTTAACATTTTTTGAAAGGCCAAATGTTTGGGGCTAACCTGAATTTGGGGAGAATGTTGTTCCAGAGAAAATGGTAGTGGCGGGGATGACCAACCTTTGTGGTCCCTGCAGATGACATTCCTTGGGTATAGGGCAGTGGTTCTCAACCTTTCTAATGCCGTGACCCCATAATACAGTTCCCCATGTTGTGGTGACCCCCAACCACTTATACATCACCGGGTGCCAGGGGCGTGGCCAAAGAAAAGGGGAAAAAAATGGCGGACAGCCTTGTTTGGCGACCCCCGTGAAATGGTCGTTCGACCCCACATGGGGTCCCAACCCACAGGTTGAGAACCACTGGTATAGGGAGATTTTCCTTCAAGAATAAATGACCCCACAGATACAAATATTCCTTTATTAATACTTTTTTAAAATTAAAATTCTGTAACACTTAGCAAATCTAATACATTTTGCTGTTTATCATAGAGCAAGGTGAACATTAGACCCATAATTCTCAGTCTCAAAGGTGTGTTTTTTTCCAAAGGTTCCAAAGGCAGCTTTTTTCAAAAGACAACTGAATTTTGTTTTTTTTTCCTTGAAGATGTTTTGCTTCTCAGCATATATAATTCTCAGTGTATATTTTATGAGCATAAGACCTATAAGCAGTGCTTTTTTCCTAAAAAAAAAAAAAAGGTGCCGGAACTCACACACGTCATACAACCCGCCTTCCTACCCTACAAGGTTCCATCCAAAAAAGGTGCTGGAACTCCGTTCTGGGCGTTCTATGAGAAAAAAAAGCCCTGCCTATAAGTTAAATGCCACATAAGTAAATCTACATATTAGCAATGTACAATGCAAACAACTAAGCACTGTTGCAATCCTTAAATAAGGATAGATGATTGATCCCTAACTCTGAGTATGCAGTTAGGGTCTACAGTTTGCACAGTATAATTCTAGGGAATTATATTGTGAAATAAGCCCCTTTGAAATGGTGCTTATTTATAACTAAGCATGCTTATACTGTAAATCAAAATAATTAGAAGAGGATCAGTGTAAGGACTTCCATTCTGGATAGGAAATTCCTTAATCACACACACATATACTCCTCCTATAAATCTAACTAACTTGGGTTGTTGCTATGGTAAATTTCTATGATAGCAATCTCACTTCCATTACAAACAAGAGCATGCTGTGAGATGCTCAGTGTATCTAACTTTATGTATCTTCTGGGTCATCGTTTAACATGATTTCTGCACCAGCACAGAGAAAATGTAGAGAGAACCAATTCATTGTGATTCATAAGCTGCTGAACAAGACACCTCATTCTTACAGGGCTATTTTGTGTTTTCTGAATGACACATCTCAGATTGATAAAGAGGAATCAGAGTGGGTAAAAATTATATAATAAGAATAGTTTGTACTTTGAAATATCAAGAAATCTCAACCTGTATTAAGAGGATCTATTTGATATGATGTAGTGAAACTTGAATTTAGCTTACTTTTCTTGCTTATGTGGAAATTCAAGATCATTTGAGTTACGTTGAAAAGGGGTATAGTAATAACATTTAACATCTGAATGCTCCCATCTGACACTGCTAAATAAATCCACACATAAACCCTAAAACAGCTTTCACTGTTTTCCAAATATCAATACCTCTCATTTCCTAGTCAAATTGTCATCTTTGTGGAAAGATGTACTGTACTAAACTGAAATAAGTCACAATTTTGATTTACTTTCTATATCATTTCCTCAGTTTGTAGGCTATCTAACCTGTAGGCTCAGTATTATCTATTGCTGAATCTCTATAAATTTTAAAATTATATATGAAAACACTAATAATTCTGAGGTTAGTATTGGTGAAAATACCTTATTTGGATTTTTAAAAAACAATCCAATTTTGCCAAATGATGTTAGAGTTAAAATTAAATGTGATAAAAATCATCCTATGATCGGTTTGCATATCCCATTCACATATAATGGATGGATTTGTATAACTTTTTTCATATTGAATAAGGTAAGGAGAATTTCGACTTATCAATATGTCACAGTAAGAATAATCATGAAGTCTTCTGCAGCAAAAATGAGTCATGTGATAACATCTTACAAATTTATTATCACACTCCACATACCTCTGATCCCTTGGGTCGTCATTTCAGATATATTTCCTTACCAGATTCCTTACTGTCTTCAACAGTGGCAGAGCTTCTAATGTACAGTACTTGAAAAGTTCTCAAATATTCATGGAGATATTCAGAGTTGTATCTATCTTGAAAATAGCCCATCTTAACTGTATAGCATAGTCAAAAATCAGGAGTTGATCACAGGAAATATTTTATGACATTTGTATTATGTCATTAAATGTTTTATAATAATTTTATGTTATATAAACATTTTACAAAATTTGCCAAATTTCAATTTCACAGGATTCATGTGTCCCTGATTTTTGGATGAATTCTGTAAGTTAGCCACTTTGAGGTTTTAGGGTTCAAAAGGTTTTGCCCTTTGAGGCACCATTTTGCCCAATTAAAAATTGTAAAAAATTACCTAGGTGTGATTATGAAATCAGTGGCTATGGCAGCATTTTATTGACTTTTCTGGATTTATACGATAAAAATTAAAAAAACTCAGTCACTTTGGTTAGCAAGATAGATGGCATATAAATTTAATAATAAATTAAAAAAATTCAAAAAGAGTTGGGCATTTGGTTAGGATTCTATTAGGATTAACCTAATACTTGACTAGGTTAAAACATTAGCACTGTAGCTAAAATTAAAGTGAAAATGTCTCCAAAATCATCTGTGGTAAAGCTCTTCTGTTCAGTTGCCAAGAAAACTAACTGGATTTATTCATGAAATGATCAGAGGTTGAGTGCAACTTGGACACTTTATACTACACAGAGAATATGTTTAGTGGTCACTAAAAACTAGCAAGTAATGTACAAGCTATCACATCTACATATTATCAATATGTAATAAATGTTTCTCTCTGTTTAATCTTTGATAAATGATGAATTTTAGTTTAAATATTTCTTGATAAAACTCATCTTTGTAATTGTTTTTTCAAAGTTAGGCACATTAAAGTCAGTGTCCTGGGGAGGTGAAATGTTTACTCACTGCTTGTAAGATACTGGTTTCTCTGATGTCAGATTTGTATAAGAAATAGCAATTTTGTCAAATGTCAAATGCAATGATATTTGAGCACAAAGATAATATTGAAGGATAAGCAAATATACTATTCTGTAATATTATAGTGAAAACCTTAGGTCTTGTAATAGTGCTGCCAGATCACATTTCATTTCTAAATGTGACTGGGACTGGCATCTGCCACATGTCTTCAGTGAAAATAGTTATTTGGCTTCTCTGGAATTGTCTTCTTCTCTCTCGTTCTTTTGTTCTCTCTCCCTCTCTCTTTCTTTTGTTCTCTTGTTCATTTAGCACTCCCACATTGTTGTGTTGTTTTGGATCCTCCATAATTGCTTTCCAGCTCCAAATGTATTTTATGTTGGTTTTAATGGTATTAGTGCCATGCTCCTCAGCATCTGTCCATCCATCTTTTCTCTAGTATTCCTTATTGATTAAATTTTTTTGGGGGGGGGGACATAAAAACGAACAGTGTACACATTAAAACTCAACAAATAAGCAAGCTTGCTCATTTTGATAACAGGTGAGCAGCTATCTGTCATAGTATACATGAGCATAATCTATGTTTGTTGGACTATATTTCCTTTCCTCCCTTATGTGTGGGAATAACAGGAATTAAAGTCCAACATATCTGGAAAATACCAGGTGGATGGAAGCAATCATAATATACCAAGGATCACTGGAACTCTGTTGCTTCCTTTTCTGTATCAAACAAGGTTACCCTATTCTGAAAAAAAAGTCCATCTATATGAAATCATCCCATGTTCCCATCATGCCTAAAGACAGGGAACAAGGTGAGCTTTAAAGAGCTACAAAACTGGAATTTTATAACTGGAACAAGTGGATTTCTTCCCATGTGCTACCTGTTTATGCCAGGAAGAAGATGTATCACAAAACAGCCTGCTTAAATGTTTACAGAAGGCCTAATCTACTGAGCATAATAACTGTGCCAGCAAAAGCATGTTAAACAACAATTAAATCCTAAGTAATTTGGTTTTTCTTCTTCCTTCTAATATAAATCAGCCTGTGCAAAGGGAACAAATACTTTTCTAATCAAGCTAATAAATGGACTTATACTTTATATTTATACAATACAGCTTAACTATAATTTGCTTAACTAGGATTGTATGGATAAACAAATATTTTCTTGGTTCACACAACATGCATAAATTATGGGTTATATGCTATGTTGGCATAAAGTATATGCATTTTGTATCATACTCAATTAGATTTAACTGGGTTATTAAATAAAATATAATTGGCTGGATTTGCTCAGCACATAAAACCAAAACGAAATATAATAAAGGTTAGCGTACTGTGTGAAGTTAAGCACGCTAGGCTATAATATGGTTTATGTGATGTAAAGCCTATCAACATTCTACCTTTGTAGATCTATATCCTCTTTTTTCATCTAGCAAAAAACCCCCACAGTACAGGTCATAAGAAAGGAAGAATTCCGATCTGGGCCACGCAGCCCAGTGAGGTAGTTTATATTGTGTAGGCAACCTTGGCTTTTTTATGACTCGTGGAGCCATGCTGGCTCAGGAATTCTGGGAGTTGAAGTTCACTAGTCATAAAAGAGCCAAGGTTGCCTATCCCTGGTCTAACTTAATATTTGGACCCCACTTGAGTGGAGAGATCAAACCACACGCCACGTGAGGTCAATAACGAGCCATAGCTATTCCACAAGCGCCTGAAAGCAAGGTCAGCAAAACTAAAGCATAGCTGCGCGTTGAGACCATTGTCCTCTCCGAGCTACCGTAGCTGGGTTTTTTAGCCCGTTGCCTCTCGGTCGGATTCGGGTAACCGGAATTGTGCGTGCGGATTGAACCCTTTTCTAAGAGCATGGCGGCGGCGGCGGCGGCTGCAGGAGCTTCCACCCACCACGGCGGCGCCGAGAGAAGGCACCATCAGTGTGGCGGTAGCGGGGACGCATATCGAGAGCGGCTGGACGATGACGGAGTTCGGACCCTCACTTCGGCGGAGCAGGTGAGACTGGACACCGCCCCCGCTTCTCTTGCAGTGAGACTACAACTCCCAGGGTGCTTTGTGTGCGGCTTCAGGGAACCGGTTGGCTTTATCGGAGTAGATCAGCATGCTGCGGGGCGATTTTCTCGCGGCGTCTTAGAACTATCAGTGCTGCGGGGCGCGTCTTTGGGTTTACCCTCCGTTGACCGTGAGAGTTCATTGCTGGTAGCCTAATGCATAGGGAAGTTCATGCCAGGTGCCATGTGTAGTTTCCAAAGACTCATCCAATGTTTTCTCCGACTGTGTTTGCCTGCCCTGGGGAGATACTGGGCAGTACTAGACACTTGAAACGTAGTGAACTGATTTATGGTTCATCATGTTGCAAATTTACCTATAATGGTAATTGTCCAGTGGGTTCTGAAAACCCGGTTAATTCAGTAAACCAGTAAATGTGTTGGGTGAACACATCCCCTATATTTGATTTCCTTGTTTTCTTCCCTAGAAAATCAGTTTATAAGATCCAGAAAACTGTTTTGTTGAGAAACTGCGGGAAACATTTTGGTGGAAATAAATGGTTTAATGCTAAATGTAAATTCACACACACACACACACACACTACATATTGATGTTTTCTGCATCTTCCCAAATTTGCTGTATTTTGGATAATTGTTAGTTTGTTACAATAGAAACATCAAATAATACATTGTTTATGCCTTCAGTTTATGCGGACCTACCACTCATAAGGTACAGAATGCATTCATTTCCTTGAGATAAGAATGCCCATTCACATAGAGCAGCATTAGAGGCAGATGGAAATAGTCACAAGGAGAGAGCAGAATGAAATGTGGAAAGTACAGGTAGCGGTCATTCAGAAGCATTGGATAAAATTTTTGCCTTTCATTCAAGTCCCTCCTTTAATGACCTTTTCTCCATTCCTGCAGTTATGCCACAGATGCTTTTATTTGAAGATGTTGCAAAAAAGAGAACTTATTTAGAACATTTTAAATCTAAAGGAAGATTAGCAAAGCTTGAAAATCCCTGGAGTCTAAATCCTTCTTCCATAAGTTTCACAAACTATTTCTTAATTGTCAAAACAAGACTACTTTGATAAAGAAGGGAAGGAAAATCATGTAACTTCACACATCAGGTTATAAAACATCTTATTTGTTAAGCAGCTATTTCTACTGTGGCAGTGTCTTACCAACCGTCCCATAATAAGTGATAGGTTTAATTGGTTGTCAGTACTATGAATTTAGTTTAAGATATTGGATACCAGGGTTAAACAACACACATAAAGAAACTGTCTCTATATTCCTAGCTAGGAACTTTGGGGGAACATTCAGGAAATATAAGAGTTTTGAACAGTGGCTAAAGCTGATAGGTTGTAGAGGTGATACTTTGTAGTAACTAATACAAAGGCATTCCTGTTACTTGGTGTACATGTTGAACTATGCGTTAGAGTTTTAAGTTGGGGTGAATGGATTGGAAATGTAGTAAATGATTAAAAGGAAATAGATTCAAAGTGTGGAAGTTCAGCTTACTTATTGCACCTCATAATCAGAGGTTCTTGAGAGGAAGATAATAGCATGAATTTTGGTGATCAGCAAGTTATAAGCTCTATAACTATTCTAGGTCTCCAAATTGTAAGAACTCAACCATATGTTTTAAATATATGTACTTAAGTAATGGGCAAAATTTAAATCCAGCATTATCTGCACTTGTAATTCTTTTCCAGGAATGGAAGATACTCCTAAGAATTACATCCTTTTAAAGCTATTATTATGTTAGGACTCTCTGTTGCTTGACTTTTCTTAAAGATAACATAACTGCTTCATAGCAGTTACATCAATAAATCAGTGCAAAAAGAATCCTTTTGATGTGTTTTAAGCATAGAAGATTTATTGTGTTGTATACTGTACTTTTGTAGCCCACAAAAGCTTTTATAACACAATAAGTCTATTGATCTTACAAGATTCTTTGTGTACTTGTTATAACAGACCAGCATTTCTGTCTTTCTAGATTACTCTGCTCCAGAAAATAAATAAAACATCTTAAACAACAGGTCTTGTGAAACCTTACAAATGAACCACTTTATTATCAAAAGCTTTAATAGGTCATAGGCCATCTCATTAGATATATGAAATATAATCATGGGAAAGAAGTATTTTGCGTACAAATAGACTTAATTTTACTGCCATGCATATATACTACACATATTGTTTTAAAAGGTTTTGTAACTGATAGAAATTTAGAATGGGCAAAAGATTCTGATTTATTTTCAACTATATTAATGTCCTTTTCTTTTTTTTGTAAAGTATACATTATTCCATGTTCAGAGTATCTTTTAGGTAATAAAATCTACTTTGGTGGTGATATTATAATAGTTTGTTCCTGAAGACTTTTCAAGCTTGAGAATGAAGGGAATTGGAAGTTAAAATTAGAGCACTTATGCTTGGCATATACTAGCTCTCATTCGTTTGTGGAATTAAGCAGGGGTAGGAAAAGTATATAACATCTGGACTGTGCTGCTCTTTGGTGCTGATTAGTAAGCTTAGCTCTCACCATCCTAGTACCGACAAATTCTTTGGAACTGCAAATCAGGGAAATGAAATTCTTGCACACCTAAGAAGCACCAGACTGAGGACAAATAGGTAATACTGGACAGATAGGTAAATGGGCTCATGCTTTTTAAGACTATGTTAAAAACCTGAGTTGGTAGATCTGAGTCCTAATATTATTTCTGTATTAATCCCAAAGGAAGCAGAAGTCCTTGAATTTAAGATGATTCTCCCCATGAAAAAAAGAAAAGATTAGAGAGCAGAAATTATCTGGTTACTATATTTTTTGCAAATTTAAATTTATTCTGCCGTTTAAAACATGCACAATCTCAACCCTGGAATCTGCATTCATAGAGAAACTTGAAGCAGCCAAGCATCTTTCTTAAATCCCTGAAGAGAAACATATTTAAGTCAGGATACGCATACAGGTAGCTGTCAAAACAATACTGTATTATCCAGTATGTTTGGATTCCATGGCCTACAGCTAAGTTTAGTTGCATATGTTGCTCTTCTCTAGAGGCACTTGTTGTGTTCCATTGTGGAGATGAGACATCATAGGGTTCCTCAAATAGTTTCATCCTAAAAGTATTAATGAAGATTATGGAAAGCCATGTTGACACCAGCGCAGCAGCGTGGAAAGTGTCTTCTGCACCAGTGGAGAGATGTTTGGGGTACAAAAGACTCTTCCTGGGTGCATTCAAAATCATTAAAACGCTTATGACATGTTATGCTATGACATCATTGTATTGCAATATGAAGGCTGACCTCCTTTGGAGCTCACTCTGCATACATTAGAAAATTTTACATAAAAATTTCTTGCTAATTTTAGTGCTTTCTTTTTCCATGTTTTCTGTGAATCTTCTTTGTCCCCTTGGCATGCTGCAGACAAAAGTGGAGGATATTGTTCAAGAAGTTTTTGATGTTTACAAGAGAAATCATCATGACACCCAGTAAGTTATTGTATTCATGTTTTTTTTCTTCTGTATATAGTTTAAAAAAAAACAACCTAAACTGTAAGGGATTTTGGGTCCTGAATTGTGCTGGCTTGCTTATCTGTTTAGAGGGATTTGTTCCTTTCATAGCAATTTCCTGCACTTACTTTCATACCTGCCAGGTTATCTCCCAACCCTACAAAGGCTTGTGGAGGAAGATGCAAGTGGGGGCAATCATGGGGCAGATGGGAAAGGTTTTCATGTTTGCTTATCTAAATATTCAGGCATATATAAGTGTATGCAGCTTTAATACCCACTTGTGGAATATTGTGTAGCGTTCCATTCATTAAATCTTAGAGAAATATCATGAAGTCATCCCTGTTGTTTTTGTGTTGGATGACAGTCTGCTGTTCTGAATGAGAGCTTTTCTTCCAATGCAAATAACAGAGGGGAGGGGAGGAAACCCCACTCCATAGCTTTCCCATCTTTTCCACTGCTGCTTCTTATACTTTTAAAACCTTTACATAGTTAGGAATTGTGGCTTATCTCTCCCTCCCCATCCCCGCCCCCCCCCAGAAACAGACACAATAAAAAGCTTATGAAATCATGCACTTCACTGACTTTTGGGGGGGGTCATTTTGGGTTTACACATGTATGTACTTTTCTTGGTCTTTATATTATTATTTGAAATGTTCGCTCTGTAGGAATCTGCTTTCTAGAAGACCTTTGTCTGAGCCACAGTATTACTTTGACCCATCTTTCAATGACCTGCCAATTACATTCATGTGTCTCTTTCAATCGAATACGGTGCATTCATAAAGTATTCAGACCCTCTTCACTTTTGTCACGGTTGTTATGCTGCAGCCTGATTCTACAGTTGTTGAAATTCATTTTTTTTTCTCATTAATCTACACTCAGTACCCCATAATGACAAAGTGAACACAGAATTTTAGAAATGTCTTTAAATTTAACCGTGTTTCCATAGACACTCAAGAGACAAAAGCTATAGCACAGCAAGCCACACTGGAAAGTAGCATGAAATAACCTCTTAACTATAGTGCTGTTGTGATTAGGTGGTGTGGCCAAATGGATAGACCCATCAGTTTAGGCTTTTTTCAGGTGCATGTTATTTATAGTACTCTGGGCCACAATGGTTGTTATTTTAGATATGTTTTGAAGGAGTAATAGACAAATGTCAGTAGATTCATGCTAGAATAACTGTGACTGGAGCTTTTATGTTCAGTGCCCCTCACTTGAGGTACTAAGAAGGTAGCTACTAGCTCCACACAACTCCTAAGCTTTCAGGAATAATAAATGCTGTTAAAGATTAAGGGGGAGTTGCGCAGCCTTCATGCTGCATGGCAAACATGTTTTATTGTTTGTGTTATATCTTGGGAATTGCTTTTCAAAAGAAGGGAAAAAACACTAGAATGGGCTGATAGCAAAAACCTCTGTGCATCTGATAGAGGTCAGGAAAGTGATATCTGCAGTATGTATGTATATACTGTGTTTCCTCAAAAATAAGAAATGGTCTTATATTTTTTTTTACCTCCAAAAGAAGAGTAGGTCTTACTTTGGGGGGATGTCTTATTTTTTTCCTGACTCCTGCCTTGCCTTGCTGCACCAACAGCCCCATCCTGTAGGAGCCCGAGTGGCCACTGGCCCATTTCTGTAGCTGCTCGTGGCAGGAGGCTACGTAGCCCACTGTGCCATGCCACCTCCACGAAGCAAGGCGACGGGGGAAGGGATGGAGCGCCTCATAGGTGCCCAAACATTTTTCGCCCAGAGGGAGACTGTAAGCTTCATCTGCTTGCAAATGAAGCAGTTAGAAACCGAGGGATTCACTCCATTTTCAAATGCCCCATAGGCGCCCAAACACTTTTCGCTCGGACAGAGAAATGATGGAGACTGGAAACTGGGGCGGTTGGAAATGGAATGAATCCCTTGGTTTCCAACTGCCCCATTTGCAAGCAGACGAAGCTTCCAGTCTCCCTCTGGACAAAAAGTGTGCGGCGTGTTTGGATCGCCTGCCTCCGCCCTCACCTCTGCCTCCACACTAGACTTACCTGTGCTGTTCCAGCGGGATGCGGCTGCTGCCAGACATCATTGCCCCCTGCACGCTCGCCGCTGCTTATGCTGGCTACACCCACCTCCCCGGGCTTATTTTGGGGCTAGGGCTTATATTAGGCCCACCCCAAAAAAATCAAGCTAAGTATTTTCAGGGTGGGCCTTATTTTCAGGGAAACACAGTATATATATGTCCTGTATGTATGATTAAATTTGTATGCCACCCGTTTTACTGTCTAGTGACCCTGGGTGATTTACAACATAAAAACACCACTAATTGTCCCAAGCCAATTGGCAGAGCCAGGTTTTTAGGCCCTTTTGAAAGGCCAAGTGGGTGGGGCCAGATCTCATCTCATCTCAAGGGGCACTTTGAAGGCATGAGCCATAGCAGAAAAGGCTCTTCTCCTGGATCCAGGCACCCAGTTCCTTCTGCCAGGGAGTGGGGGGGGGCAATTCCATTGGGACTAGACAGTTCCTCAGGTAGCTAAACCCATGCCATAATGGGCTTTAAAGGTAATAACTAATACTTTGGATTGAATCCAAAACCAATCGGCAACCAGTGCAGCTCATGCAAAAACAGTGTTACATGGGCCATTCTAGAAGCCCCTAAAACTTCCACACAGTTGCATTCTTTGCCAACTATAGCTTCTGAATATTCTTCAAGGATAGTCCCATGTAGAATTCATTGCAGTAGTCCAAATGCGAGATGACCAGGGAATAAGTGAATGTATTTAACAGGCTGCCATTTCAATTTTAAGATACCAAAACTATGCTTATAAATGTGCTTGTAATAACCTGAAAAGACTGCTTATTTCTGGTCTGAGCAGAGATTTGGATGTTGAGCAGAATGCTCATTATATGGATCTTGGTTTGATCTAACATAGCATTAAGTGTATTGTGAGGTTATTTGAATGACAAGCCATATGGCTGTGACTGAATAGTGTAGTAGTATATGCTGTTCAGATTGGATCCCTTGGCTTCTTCCTCAAAAGAGTACAGTTAACAAACATGGATAACTATCACAACTTGCTCAGTGTGATGTATGAGCCAGAGGCCAGACTTATTCCAGTAAGAATAAGAACAGATTCTTGATTTAAATCCAACTTGTTTTGCTTGTTCATAGGAAGATTAAGTTACCTGTGTATTGGTAAGCCAGGATTCATTTTGTGCGAGGTGGCCTGGCAGTTGCTGAAGGAGCACATCCATAAATACAAACACAGCACATTCCATATATTTCTGGAAAATACAGGTTATTCTTTGTCTTTTTAATTAGTTGAATGACAAGCAAATCTATTCATTACTCAGATGGTACTCTATAAGTTTGCTAAACTATACATGTTTTGATCAATCAATCAGGTATGTTTTGCAACAAGAAAAACATTTCCATTACCTGAAGAGAGGACTCAGGCAATTGACAGATGCCTATGAGGTAATTTCTGCAATTTGAACCAAATGTATATTTTTTTCCTTATTTATTATGTTTCCAGTTTGTTGGTTTCTAATCACAGATTTGGCCATGGGCTATATTGTCCTTGGTGTTTTCTTTGTTCTTTTCTTCTGCCTTTACTATTTCTCAGTAACCTGAATATTAGGTGGGTTAGAAGAAGACAGATTAAGTTCTGTTGGCTGGCTTTGTTCCCTGTTAGCTAGAGGACCAACTCCCTCTAAGATTCTAAGCTTTATTGCAGTTTAGGATTTTACAGTCTCAGCACATCTGTAGAGCACCAGACTGAAGGGAACCTCCATGGATTAACTATTAACTATTTAACTATTTATAATTTCTGCTTTGTCTGGACAGTAATAAATAAAAGAGTGGTTACCATGGGGATACTGCTAAACAAATCATAATGATTTTTTTTTTAGTGCTGTTGAAATCTCAAGTTGAAGTTCTTTTGCCTTTTAGATGGGTTATTTGCTTTCAAGTACTTCTGATTAATCTTCTACACAAAATTGTCCCTCATTTGAGGCAAATGTACTACTGCTTGTTCTGTGAGATTTGAACAGATGTAGCTTTCTTCTTTTGTAGTGTCTGGATGCCAGCCGCCCATGGCTGTGCTATTGGATCCTGCACAGCCTGGAACTCTTGGGGGAACCAATCCCAGATTCAGTAGCATCAGAGTAAGTTTAGTTTCATCAGATGTACTCTTTCTTTAGTATTATGAGGACTTGTTAAGAAATTGCACATTGTACACTATGTGATATAGCAACAGAGGATATCTCTTCCTAGTTTGAAGATTGATTTCTTTAAAAGCTTCTAGTCCTTATTGAAGATTTTAAAAAATACTGCAGTTAACCTCTACTGAAGAAATCAAGAGAACTTTGATCAGGGCTTTGAATTTTGTGCTTCTATAATTCTGTTTTCCAATAAGCTACTCAAAGTTACCTGAATTAAAATTAGAAAGAGTCTGGCGGCACTTTTTCTGATTAACTCATTGTGTTAAAAGGCATACGCTTTCATGAGCTGCAGTTCAGTTCATTAGATGGAAATAATGACTAGACTAATGTAGGATTTTAATTGGGATGAGGTTTGGAGTGAAGAAGACAGAGTGATTATACAGAAGCAGGATATATGTAAGACACATTACTGGTATCTTATCAATAAACAATTGTATTAAAGTTAAAACTCAGTTCACATAGGAGAAATAACTGATAAGTGTAATATGAAGTGGAGCTCTGTTCTACTACATTTAACATTTCTGTGGCCAAAAATGACTATAGAGATAGATATTCTGAAATCTTCATCAGCTAGGCAGAGCACCTGACTTTCTGAGTTAACATCCCATTATCTATGCATCATGTGTCCCACATTATTTTGTAAAATACAGCAGTGCATTGTCTCATTTTGCTTCAGCAATAATGTCTTAAAATTTGTTCTTGAGTAGAAGCTTTTAGTACTTTTTTTGATGGGCTTAGATAATGGTGGTAGCAAGAGCTGTTATGTAAAGGAAAGATGATGGGGAGAGCAGATTTGCAAGGTATGGGGAGAGACACAACACATACTATTTTTCCTCACAAGCAACTGTCAGATATACCACATTTCTGACAAAGAAAAGCTCTGCAGTTTACAAGGAGAAAAGGAAGAAAAAACCTGAATCATTCTTTGGAGACATGTACTCATCTCTTTTGTGTTGCTTTAAAAGTATTGCAATCCCACACACTACTTAACAAATATAGCAAAAATACAATTGTTATTTTATTATACATTAAAGATTCCCTGCCTGAAATCCAAAGCATGGAGGCAAGATTTTCTCACTTGACTGGTGGATTGTTCAGTCCACCTCATACAAATGGTAGAGCTTTCTTCTCTCTTCCACCTAGTCCTTCTCAAAATCTGCCTGGAGGGGTCCACCAATAATTTTCGACAGATTTTTGAGGGCCCTGGAGCTGCAGAGAGATGGCAGACATTTTCTCTCCCTCAGTGCTGCTCACATGTTCACTCCCATCACCATTAGAATCCTTTAGTAATACACGAGAAGACTGATAAGAACCATGAATTTAAAGGGTAAAGATGCTCTTGAGTTGATTTTGACTCCCGAAAACTATAATCACACAGTTTCCTTGGCAGACTTATGGAAGTGGTTTCCCACTGGCTTTTCTGGGGTGCATTTTTCAGTTTTTCAATCTTTCAGTAGCCCTGGAATTCCTCCCACTACCCACCCCCACTACAATTCAAGGTTAACTTGCTTAGCTTCATAGGTCAGCCATGTTTGACCACTACTGCAGACTATTAAGGCTGTGGTTGCATTTGGCCAATAATTAAACTGTTTTAATATGATGAGAATGAATCATCTTAAGCTTTGGGCATATACCTCATCTCTCCTTCACTGGAATTGCTTTAAAATAACTGCAACTTGTGTGGTCTGGATCCTAAATTATGGTTAATTTTAATTTCATGAACTCTGCTAAGAAATTGGGTCTATTTTGACAAACTATAATTAAGGCAGTTTAATTTATAGGATTATTACTTTTTTTTTTTTTTTATTGAATTTTTTCAGAAATTTTACAGATAAACATCCACCCCCCCTCCCAAACCACCCCCCCTCCCCCCCCCGACTTCCCAGAACTGAATATAGGATTATTTAACAAATTTTAAAAATAACGTTTACAATTTATAAGATAATTAATAATAATAATAAAAATCGTAATCATAATATATATAATAATAATATACATAACATAAGCTTTAAGATGAATAATATATACTTAAAAAAAAAGAAAAGAAAAAAAGAGGAAAAAAGGAAAAAGAAAAGAGAGAGAGAAAGAAAAAAAGAAAAAGGTAGACGAAAAATAAAACATATATAAAAAAGTATATGAATAATAATACATAAAGCATAAAAAAAAAAGAAAGAAAGAAAAAAAAAACAATCATTACAAGTTATAGAAAAGCTAAATAATATTTTTCCATATCCAAATTATGTTGTATAAAATTTATCCATTTTTCCCATACCGCAAAAAATTTCTCTTGGGATTGCTCCTTTAAAAAAGCCGAAATCTTTGCCATTTCTGCCAAATACGAAACTTTATAAAACCACTCTTGTAAAGTAGGCAAGGATTCCTTCTTCCAATATTGTCCTATTAACAGCCTAGCGGCTGTAATCAAATTTAACATCAATATAACCTCCTTAGCATCACAATCAATAACAATACCTAATAAAAATAATTGCGGAGTAAATTTTACCCTCTTTCTAAAAATTCTTTGAATATTCCACCATATCTTAATCCAAAAAGCTTTTATATGCTTACACGTCCACCAGATATGATAATATTTTACATTGGAAGCAGATAATATAACCCCCAAATATTTTACCTTATCAACAATTTCAAAGTCCGTTAACTTAACTAAAACCTGTTTATCACCATTAGTCATATTTTTAGCTAATATTTTAGTCTTATTATTATTAATTTTAAAACCAGAAACACGTCCATATTGTTGGATCAATTGTAATAATTTTACCACCGAACAAGTAGGTTGAGACAAAGTAACAACCAAGTCATCTGCAAAGGCTCTTAATTTATATTCTTTTTTATTAATTTCTATTCCTTTTATTTCTTGAGACTCCCGAATTTTAATCAACAAAATTTCCAATGTTAAAACGAACAATAACGGAGATAACGGGCATCCCTGTCTTGTACCTTTTTCTATTACAAAAGCCTCTGACAAACCCCCATTTACAATAAGTTGAGCAGTCTGTTTTTGATATATATTAGATAATACTTGTAATATATTTTGTCCAAAATTCATCTCCTTAATTAAACATAACATAAACTGCCAATTCACTTGGTCAAAGGCTTTTTCAGCATCCAAAAATATCAGGCCTGCAGAGACTTGGTTATTCTTTTCTAAATACTCTAATAAGTTAATGATTTGTCTGACATTATTTTTCATATACCTTCCAGTTATAAAACCCGATTGATCCTTATGTATAAGCTGCTGCAAGATCCCCATAAGCCTGTTGGCTAAAATTTTTGCAAAAATTTTATAATCCACATTTAAAAGAGATATAGGCCTATAATTTTTAGGCAATGTAAGATCTTGATTGTCTTTTGGAATCAGTGATATAAATGCATTACGCCAAGATGGAGGGATCTCTAACCCCTGTAATAAGTTATTAAACAATTCACACAACGGTTGAGTCATCTCTTCTACTAGAGTTTTTTTTTTTTTTTTATTAAAAGTTTTATAAATTTTACAAAAAAGAAAAAAGAATACAAAACAAGCGACAACATATACAAAAAAATAAAACTAAACAATACATATATAAAACCCCCCCCCTCCCAACCCCCCCCTCCCTTCCCCCCCCCCTGAGCTTCCCAGAGCAGAATACAGGCTTAAAAAGTAAAAATAAAAATTAAATTAAGAACTTTATATTTATATATATAAAAAGATTATCTATAATATATATAAAAATAAAGCTTATAAAAAAACTATATAATATTTTTGTATACCCAATCTAAATTGTATAAATTTTATCCATTTGTCCCAAACAGCAAGAAACTTCTCTTGCGTTTGTTGCTTTAAGAAAGCCGAAATCTTTGCCATTTCCGCCAGATAAGCTACTTTATGAAACCATTCCTGCAATGTAGGCAAGGATTCCTTCTTCCAATATTGTCCTACTAACAGCCTAGCGGCTGTAATCAAATTTAACATCAATACAACCTCCTTTGTATCACAATCTGTAACAATACCTAACAAAAATAATTGCGGAGTAAATTTTACCCTCCTTCTAAAAATTCTCTGGATATTCCACCATACTTTGATCCAAAATGCTTTTATCTCTCTGCATGACCACCAAATATGATAATAGGAAGCCTCCTTATAACCACATCTCCAACATTTGGGTTGCACGTCAGGGTACATATAAGACATTTTTTGTGGATCAAGGTGCCATCTATAAAACATTTTATAAAAATTCTCCCTTAAATTCTGTGCTTGTGTAAATTTGACATTTCTCACCCAAATTTTTTCCCAGGTGTCCAATGAAACTGGCTCACCAAAATTCTGCGCCCATCTTATCATACAATCTTTGATTAGTTCCGTTTCTGAATCCAATTCAACTAAAACCGCATAAATTCTCTTAATGTGGGTTTGTCTTGAATCCTTCACTTGCTTAATAAGATTTTCATCTTCTCTAAGAAAACCCACCTTACAATCCATCTTCCATCTGTCTAATAATTGCCTATATTGGAACCAAGAATAAATAAAGTTTTCTTGTGCTAACTCTTCCCGTGATTTTAATTGCCAGTTTTGTCCATCCCATTTAAGTAACTGTCTGTAGGACACCATATCCATTTTAACCCCTCTTTTTATTGCTTCTATCGCATGCCAAGGTATAGCCCATAATGGTACTTTGAAATCACTTTTATAATATTTTCTCCAAATCCTAAGTAAAGAGATTCTTAAGATATGAGATTTAAAAGTCCAATCCATTTTTTTATTGAATATTAAATAGGCATGCCACCCATAAAGTAAGTCCCATCCCTCTAGATAAAGTATCTCAGAGTTTGTCAAATTTACCCAATCACTGATTAGTGTTAAAACCACCGCATCATAATATAATTTCAAATTTGGTACCTTAAGTCCACCCCTCTCACGGAAGTCTTGCATAATTTTAAACTTA